ATGTGTCCAGCCAACTCTTGCCCCAGATCTTCCCCCTGACACGGAGGGGCTGTCTTCTCTCGGGGCCTCAGTTTCCACATCTTTAAAAAGATGGGGGTCTTCAGATCTCTCCGTCCTCAACATTGTTGTTTTGTTTTTTTGAGATGGAGTCTCGCTCTATCACCCAGGCTGGAGTGGGGTGTCACAATCTCGGCTTCCTGCAATCGCTGCCTCTCAGGTTCAGGCAACTCTCCTGCCTCAGCCTTTTGAGTAGCCGGGATTATAAGCATATGCCACCACGCCCAGCTTATTTTTGTATTTTTAGTAGAGATGAGGTTTCACCATGTTGGCCAGGCTGGTCTTGAACTCCTGACCTCGAGTCATCCGCCTGCCTCAACCTCCCAGAGTGCTGAGATTACGGGCATGAGCCACTGCGCCTGGCCCTCAACATTGTTATGTTTGGCACATAGGTTGTGGTCAAATTGGCTTTTCTGAAGTTGATTCTTACTGAAGACAAAATGGTGAAAGCCGTGGTAGGGTAGAATGATACCTTCCCAAACATGTGCCTATCCTAATACATAGAACCTGCAAATGTGTGACCTGTCATGGTGAAAGGGACTTTGCAGGTGTGACAAAGTCATGGCTCTGGAGATGGGAGATTGTCCTGGATTATCTGGGTGAGCCCTTTATAATCACAAGGGTACTCATAAGAGGGAGGCAGGAAGCTGGGAGTCAGACAGGGAGCTGTGACAACAGCAGCACAGGAGAGGGACAGACACCCTGCTGCTGCTTTGAAGATGGAGGAAGGAGCCATGATCCAAGGCCTCTAGCAGCTGGAAAAGGCAAGGAAACTGATCCTCCCCTAGAACCCCCAGGAGAAACACGGACCTGCTGACACTTGGGTTTAGGACTGCTGGCTTCCATAACTGTGTGTTGTTTTAAGGCATGAAGTTTCCAGTAATTTGTCACAGAAGCAATAGGAAACTGAGACAGAGGCCAACCTTAAAATCCTTTCCAGGGCTCTCTGGTCCAGGGGATCCTTCCTATTGAAATGATGTTTGAGCAACTTTCTGGAAATTTGCTCATACTTGTTCAATGAAAAGAATCAAGTTAGAAATAGTATGTTATTGATACTTCAATAAAAATTTGGCTTAAAATAGTATGTATTTTTGTAAGTTATATTTATACATTTAAATATATGAATATAAAAATTGAAGATTATACACAAAAATGAAAATTATTATCTCTGGTTGGTAGAAATACAGCCAGTTGGCCAGGTGCAGTGGTTCACGCCTGTAATCCCAGCACTTTGAGAGCCCAAGGCTGGTGGATCACGAGGTCAGGAGATCGAGACCATCCTGGCCAACATGGTGAAATCCCATTTCTACTAAAAATACAAAAATTAGCTGGGCATGGTGGCAGGCGCCTGTAATCCCAGCTACTTGGGAGGCTGAGGCAAGAGAATGGCTTGAACTCAGGAGGTGGAGGTTGCAGTGAGCAGAGATCGCGCCACTGCACTCCAGCCTGGGTGACAGAACGAGACTCTGTCTCAAACCCCTTCCCTTTTTTGTTTTGCTTGGTTTTGCCTGTCAGAAATTTCTATGTCTAGTTCCCTGAGAGCCGGAGTTAAGAACAGCTCTGTTCTTGAGGTTGTCCAGACTTAGGCTCATATCCCAGCACTGCCACTTATTGGCTGTGTGTCATTGGACAAGTTACCGTCTCTGGGCTTCCATATTCTCCTCTGTAAAAATGTGGGTAAGACTTGGACCCCGGCACTTTGGGAGACTGAGGTGGGTAGATCACATGAGGCCAAGAGTTTGAGACCAGCCTGGCCAACATGGCAAAACCCTGTCTCTACTAAAAATACAAACAAAATTAGCCAGGCATGGTGGTACACTTCTGTAATCCCAGCTACTTGGGAGACTGAGGCACAAGAATCGCATGAGCCTGGGAACTGGAGGTTGCAGTGAGCTAGGATCGTGCCACTGAACTCCAGCCTGGGTGATGGAGTGAGACTCCGTCTCAAAAGGAAAAAAAAAAAAGGCCTGGCGCAGTGGCTCATGCTTGCTGTTATCACAGCACTTTGGGAGCCTGAGGCGGGCAGATCACCTGAAGTCAGGAGTTTGAGACCAGCCTGGCAAATATGGCGAAATCCCATCTCTACTAAAAATACAAAAATCAGCTGGGTGTGGTGGCAGGGACCTGTAGTCCCAGCTACTAGGCTGGGGCAGGAGAATCACCTGAACCCAGGAGGCGGAGGCTGCAGTGAGCTGAGATTGCACCACTGTGCTCCAGCCTGAGTGACAGAACAAGACTCCGTCTCAAAAAAAAAAAAAAAAAAAAAAAAGACTTGGACCTACCAGGTGCTAGGAGGAATTCAGTGAGCTGATACACAGGAAGTATCTCAGGACATGGCTTGGTGCTTACAAGGTATTTAGTGACTGTCCTTATCATTCATGTCATGTTAATTTCTTTTTGCAATGAACATGTGTGATTACCTAACAATGAAATAATCAGCACTGAGTAAAATGATTGCTCTTCTTAGTCAAAGTAGAATTTGAGGACCTCACATTGAAGCGAGACTGTCTTTGACTGCACTGTGTGAGAACACCCGCTGGAGCCTGGCCAAGTGCACGCTCACGTCAGCACATCCTCTTCCCATTTGCTCAACCTTTGCTCCATGCCAAGCTCCGTGCTAAGCTCCGTGCCAGGGGTTTAGCTACCTGGCTTCACTGAATTCTCACAGCGATGGTTCTTGGTCGGGAGAAATGGTGTTGTTACGTGCCTCGTTCTACAGATGAAGAAACTGAGGCTTGGCGCAGTGAAGCGAGCGCTGCCTGAGAGGCCCCATAGCCCAAAAAGGATAAATGAAGGATTCCAATCAGACCTGGCTGAGCTCCAAGGCTGAGGACTGAGCTGCTGCAGTCGGGCTGAATTCGTTACTGTGGAGTTCAGAGGAAAGGACGTGGTGAGGATGGCCAGGGCAGGCGAGGGAGGGCAGGGTGGGATGAGATGGAGAAACACAGGCCAGAGGGGCAGGGGCCCCAGGGAAAGCTGGCGTCAGCTCGTCCTTGATCATTGTGAGACATGCTGGATAATTCTACAGGCTTTCCTTTCTAAGAAAGACTGAGATCCGCTGACTTGTTGCTGAGAATGAAAATTTGTTTAGAGTGACTGGAACTTAGAATTGCTGAACTAAAAATAGTCTGTTATTAGAGTTCACTGAGGCTGGGCACAGTGGCTCACACCTGTAATCTCAGCACTTTGGGAGGCCGAGGTGGGTGGATCACTTGAGGTCAGGAGTTCAATACCCGCCTGGCCATCATGGCGAAACCCCGTCTCTACTAAAAATACAAAAATCAGCTGGACGCGGTGGCACGTGACTGTGGTCCCGGCTACTTGGGGGGCTGAGGCAAGAGAATCGCTTGAAACTGGGAGGTGGAGATTACAGTGAGCCGAGATCACGCCACTATACTGCAGCCTGGGTGACAGAGCGAGACTCTATCTCAGTAAATAAATAAAATAAAATACATAGAGTTCACCGAGGACTCAAATATTTTCCTAAGAAACCTAATGTCCACACGACCTTGTGCAATGCCCATTGTGTGCTTATCCACAAGGCTCTCCATAACCCCAGCCCTGCTGTCCAGCACTGGTAGTGTTGTCTTGTGTTGGCATGGATCTCCATTACTGCTATTTAAAAAAAGAAAGCTATTAGAGAACATTTCAAATATATACAACATAAGTAGAAGAGAACAATGAATCTCCATGTACCCATCACCCAGCATCGCCAAATATTTAACAGCCCCGTCATTCTCATCTCGCCTGTACCTCCTCCCACCCCCAACCCCCACTCAGTGATCATTTGTTCTAGTGCTTTGCTTACAGGGTAAATTTACATACATTGAAATGCTCCGATCTTAGCTGCACACTTTTGACAAATGATACACCGAGGAACCCACACTCCTATCACAATATAGAATGTTTCTGTCTCAGACAGTTCCTTCCAAGTCAAGCTCCTCAGGCAACCTCTGTTCTGTTTTTCTTCACCTTAGATTAATTTTGACTGTTCCAGAACTTACTATAAATGGAACCATACTGTATGTGCTGTTTTGCATCTGGCTTCTCTCACGTGGGAGGCACCCCTGTTGTTGCCTGTATCAGTAGTCGTCCTGTCTTATTGCTGAGGACAACCTGGTTCTGTGAATTTACCAGTTTGTTTATCTCTCTACCAGATGATGGACATCTGGCTCGTGTCCAGTGTTGGACTATTGTGAACACAGCTGCTATGAACCTTTGAGTACAAGCCTTTGTGTGAACATATGTTTTCATTTCTCTTGGGGACATACCTAGGTGTGGAATGGCTGGACCCATGGTAGGTGCATGTGTAATGTTTCAGAAACTTCCGTTGTCTTCCAAAGAGGTTAAACCGTGTTGCGTTCCCACAAGCAGTGAATGAAAGTTCCAGTTGCTCCACGTCCTTGCCAACCTCAAATGCAGTCAATCTTTGTCATTTTTATTGCTGTTCTTTTTAAAATGAGCTCATACATAGATGGGGTTTCTGGAAGGTTTTTCTCTTGTTGAGCAGCTGGTGTTGGAGAGCTGCTGTGTGTCCCAAAATGGATTGTTTGTTTGCTTCTCGTTTCTTTGTCTTCCTGGAATTCCTTCCCCACTGAGTGGCAGCCGGCGGGATGGTGGAGGTGGGGGTTCTTAGGGGAGTCTTGGTGACCAAAGGTTGGGTGCTGCTGTCCGGGGGGAGGAGCTGGAGCTTGCCCTCTGCCTCACCTCTGCTTCCCTGGAGCTCGGTCTCTGCTTTGGCGCTGGGCACAGGGCAGAGTGGTCTGACCTCGTTTCCTGGTCTGATCCTGCAGCTCCGAGAGCTGCTTCCTAATCTCTCCCCATCTTGTGTGCCAGCCTCAGCTCCTCTGAGCATCCATCCTCATGTCACTGCCAAACCAGCCCACCGGGCTGTGTGTCTAGGAGTCCTAGCCCATCTGGGCATCCCTCTCTCTTCTCCACAGATATTGGCCCAGTGACCCTCACAGCGGACCCCGCGGTGTTTCAGAGGGAGCTGAGAGAACTCTATGTGCAGGTGGGCACTGTTCCCTGACCCTCTGTCCCACTCTGTGTCCTACCAAGAGGGTTTGGGGAGGTAGCTTCGAGTGACTCCCTCTTGCCCAGCCTCTACTTCTCCCTCCTCCTGGGCAAATGTGTGGCTTCCTTAGGCCATCTGTTAACTGCTCCCATGGCCCCCTCCATCCTTGCCCACTCGAAGTACTTGGCACGGTGCTGGGCTTATTGGTGTAGTGACTGCCTTCCGTGGGGGTGGGCCCGTGTCACTCTTGCATGGGTGAATAAATGAATGAATGAATGATGCTGCTTGTCTACAGTTAAAGCAGGTTGGATGTTATATCATGTCCCTGGGAAGGAAGTGACTGAGTGGGCGGGTGACAGTTCAAGGTGACTCCCAACACCCAATGGTTTTGGAGGTGTCCCTGGGTGGGTCCCATCTGGAGGAGGCAGGTGGCAGCTGCTGACACGTCCCTGCCCTCCAGGGAGGTGGTGACTGCCCGGAGATGAGTGTGGGGGCCATTAAGGCTGCCGTGGAGGTTGCCAACCCCGGCTCCTTCATCTACGTCTTCTCGGATGCCCGCGCCAAAGACTATCACAAGAAGGAAGAGCTGCTGCGTCTCCTGCAGCTCAAACAATCACAGGTGGGTGAGCCGGCTTTGGGGGCCTGAGTGGGGTCCCCTAGGGGGTCCCGAGGAAGCTGGGGTCTCTCACGCCACCTGAGCCACCACCTGGAGAGAGAGCTGGGCACTTCTCTTCCACAGCCTTGGTCCAGCCTCTGCCATGCATGGCCAGAGCCTCGGAACCAAGTTGGCCCAGGAAGTGTGAGAGTGCTGTCATGCTCTAGGCCCGGGCCAGGGTTCACACTTCCCTGGTGCAGCTTGTTCCTGATGGAGACCACACCACCTACTCCTTTCATCCCCATCAAAGTCCAGGCAACCCATCTTCCTCCTGGCATCGCCTCTGCTCCTGGTCTCTCTACCATTCATATCCCCTTTGCCATTGTCTCAGGGTTTGGAAGACCTGTCAGATCCCTTGCTTCTGGCTTTTACAGTGAGGGCTGTGAGACAGGACATGATCAAGGGAGGGAGAAGGGCCAGCTCTTTGGCATCTTTGGGCAAGATCCAAAGGGCCGAGACTGCTTCTCTGCCACCGCGTCTAGAACTTGCTTGGGTTCTTCAAGGTTCTTCTAACTCTGCAGCCTCCAGGGGCCACTCTGAGCTGAATCGACTTCCACAGCCTTCTTTTTTGTTGACTCAATAGCAGTTCCCAATATGGAACACCTGCTGTTTTCCTGGCCCTGTGCCGAGCACTTACCCTGCATCAGCTCCTGATCCCCATGAGATGGGTACTTCTATTTTCCCTTCTATTCATGTGTCATATGCCATTCTATACATGTGCCGGACAGAGGAAAGGGCCTACTCCAGGTCACCCCACCCTGGTCGAGCTCCTGCTGCTCACCCCTGAAGCAGCCGGCCAGGGAAGTTGAGAGCAGGCTGCATGTCCATCTTCCAGGTGGTCTTTGTGCTGACGGGGGACTGTGGCGACCGCACCCATCCTGGCTACCTGGCCTATGAGGAGATCGCTGCCACCAGCTCTGGGCAGGTATTCCACCTGGACAAGCAGCAAGTGACAGAGGTGAGCACCGGGAGGAGGCACCATCCCGGAGCCCGTCACTCGGGCACGGTGAGGACATTGACCATCCCTGTGGCTCCAGGTGGCTGAATGGCAAGCAGTCCCCCAGAGATGCAGGGATATATAGATAGCTGAGCAGCGCTGGGTGCACGCCTGTGGCAGGCACAGGAAGCACTGTGCTCAGGTACCACCATATCATCTCATCTCGCCAAACCCTTCCACCTGTCCCAAAGGCAGGTGCTTCCGTGTTTCCAGGCAGAATTGTGCAGGTAAAGAGGCTGAGGCTTGATGCAGCCCCTTGGGATGGCCTGAGTTCAGCAGTTGGTCCAGGCTGACAAGGTGGCCCCAGAGAGTGTGGCAGAAGTATGGGTGTGGGGCGTCTTCTGAGTGTCTCCCCAGAGTCAGGGAAGCTGGGGTGGCTGGAGGAGCACAGGAGCTCTCAGGTTCAGGCGGTGGTGCTGGGCACTGGCCAGGGAGGGGCCGGCTTGCTATGTGGGCTACAGTGCCGGGATCCGGGTTCACTCAGAGCCCAGTGTTCCGCAGGCACCTGCCGTCCAGTCTTGCTGCTGGACAGGGGTCTGTCCTTCCTCCCCTCAGGGCTCCCTGGTATCATCCTGTTCAGGGCTGTCCCTGCGTTCCCTCCACCCCACACTCCCATCCCCTCCCAGGAGCACAGGGTCCTTCCAGGAGCCAACTGGGAAATGATTAACAATGCTTTCTCTGGGAAGGACAAGCACGCCCATTTCCATGGTGTAAATACTCCCACCTCGGCTGATTCCAAGTTAAGAGTTGGGAAGTGATGCTGACACTCAGCTTTCCTGAGCTTACGCAAGTGGCTCCCACACACCACTGGATCCCGCTCAGACACACCTCACAACCAGGTCCCTCCTGCTTGTCCCCTGGAGAATATCCAGCCCCTTATCTGACCCCTCTGCCTTTCTGGTCCCCCTGTTATCCCCTTGCCCAAATGTGTTGCTGCCCTGCTGGCTTCTCTGCTGTCTCTCCAATGTCCCACACTCCTCCCCACCCAGAGCCTTTGCTGGTGCGGCCCGTTCTTCCAGCTCTTCTTCCCCGGCTCCTTCTCACCTTCCCAGTCTTGGCTTAAGCGCGCCTCCTCAAAGAGACCCTCCTTGGTTTCCTCTCTAGATTAAGTCTCCTATCTCTTGAACCTGGGAGGCGGAGGTTGCAGTGAGCCGAGATCACGCCATTGCACTCCAGCCTGGGCAACAAGAGCGAAACTCCATCTGATAATATTAAAAAAAAAAAAAAAAAAAAAAATTAGGTCTCCTTCTGTGCCCCTCGCAGCTCCCTGTGCTACTTTGCATAATCGTAACTTTATAACTGCGATTATTAAATGTCACTAGGCTGTGAAGTCTCCAGGGGCTGGACTGTGAGTCCCGATGGCCACGGCCTTCCCAGCACTTTACATTTCCCAGCTCGGAGCAGGTGCTGGGTAAATAGCTGGTGAATGGACAGGGTCCTTGGTGCCCACGTCCCCGGTAAGAGGAAGGAGAGAGGCAGGGTATCTGAGGCGGGCCTGGTCGTGGCCTCAAGCCAGTCCTGCTTTGTTGCCTCTGGGAGAGGGTTTTGTGTGTGTATATTTACGAGCTGCAGAGAGCTATCTCCAGGGATGTGTTTAGATTAGCGTGCCTTAACTCCCTGTTGACAGATGGCGTTTGTGGTTCTCTGCGACACTTTAGGCTTCATTTTTTGGCATATCAGCCTACCCTGGCACCGAGTCACCCAAGCAAGGGTGGGAGGCATTTCACAGTGGAAGGATGGGTTGGTTCTTGCTTTTGGGGAGAACTATCTGGCCAATTGCATGGGAACTGGGTTCCTGCCAGGGACAAATCAGACACAGGGCAGCTGGGCAGGTTGATGGGGGCCACTCGCCCAGGTGTGAGGCTGGGCTGTCGTAAGCCTCTTCCCTGAGCCTGGGAACCTGGATAAGTCCACTACTCCCGGCTGTGGCGCCAGCTTTCTCCTCTGAGAGTCTGGCTGGGCAGCACACGCCTGACTCGGTAGGACCACCAGTGGCCAGAATTGGCTGCCTCTGGGTAGGGGCCTGGATCCCTCTCCTTCCTGGACACGGAGCTCTGTCATTCTTTAGCTTAATGCCTTGGACCTAGCCCCTTCCAGATGTTCCCAGACATTCTGCCAGCCTGGGAAGGTGCTGGGCAGCCAGGGCTGTGGTCACCCTCCCAGGAGAGATGAATGGTGCCTTCACCCTAGCCAAGGGGCCTCCAGCTGGGAGAACTCCCCAGAAGTTGCAAAAGGCTCCAAACAGTGCATGTGTCGTTAATCCTTTTACCTCTTCAGAGCACATCCAGTGCAGCCCAAGAGGCGTCATGCACTCTTTTCCCCTTGTTTACTGAGCCCCAGGCCAGGTGCAGCTCTGAGTGCTGGTGCGAAGGTGGCCATCAGTCATAGCTGGGGCTTACTGCTTTGGAACATTTCACTTTTTTCAATTGTGAAATTGGCCTCACTAGTACCTGGATCACCCCTTGGGGTTCCAGGGTAACTAAAGGAAGGTGAGGATCTCTCCCTGGCAGGGGAAATTTGGAGCTTTTACAATCCTTAAACAGGCAGGGGATCATGTCAGAGGCAGGCAACATGGCCCCTTGAACCTGCCCCAGAGTTGTGCATTTTTTATTAAATCTTAGATAAGTCCAAGCACCTGCCGTGCCAGCGCAGCCTCCCCCAAGTTCCCCGGCAGACACACAGCCCAACGCACTGTCACCAGCCCCAAGAGTGGTGGGGGTGGAGGTGGCAGAGCTGGGCAAACCTGCCTGTGCTGCAGCTCCCCTGTGCCTGGGAAAGCCCCTCCATCTTTTTTTCCCGGGAGGACACTGGGCCCCTTGCTCTCCTCTGCATCTCCCACCCCACAACTCACAACACACGTTTCAGCACGGCCAGTTCTGCGGGCTGGGAGCCTTCCCATGTTCAGCACCAGCAGGCACAAAGGGTGAATTTGCCAGGTTCTGTGCATCTGCTAGGAGCGAGGTGTGCTTCTAAGCCAGTAAGGGTGGGCGGAAGATGGGGGGGGTGAGGGGGAGCTGCTGGGGGAGCGTCTGACCAGGTGACTCTGATTAATTGATCAGCAGGGGCCCGGAGATGACCTCCTCCTGGACCCCTCGCAGGGGGAGGTGGTTAGGGCTTGGACTCCAGGGCAAGAGGCCTGGCTTCAGGCCTTGCAGCCCTGCCACTTACCTGCAGTGTGACCTCCAGCACAGTCCTCAGCCTCTCTGGGCCGCACTTTCTTCTCGTGTGCAGTTGGGTTAACGAGAGCCCCCACCTGGTGAGATGGTAGCTAGGGTGAGAGGAAGCCATGCACGGGAAGCCCTTGGTAAGATGGCTAAATGCCATCCCACCCCCTGTGCTTCAGTGTGGAGCCCAGGATATGCCCCTCAGTTCCATCAACGCCCCCTGAAGAGTAGGAACTATCTCTGGAAAAGATTCTCTGCTAGGGCAAGTGAGTGCCCAGGGTACCCAGCTGGCAAGGGGCAAAACCCCCAGACTAGGGTCCTCTCTCTGTCACTTCACCGTGAGCCTGCTGGCACAGGGCCCGGGACCCACAGCCCCAACCTCAGTGTTCTCATCTCTGCCTCGGGGACCCATTCACCCCCTGGCTTTCTTTCCCTGCTTCCTCAGCCGCCCTGGCTGTCAAGTGTTCTGGGATGATCCTTGGGGATGATTTATCTGCTGTGAAGGGCCGAGCAGCAGCCATCTGGCTGGGGTAGCAGTGCCAGATTTTTCGTTCCTTCCCCATCGGTGACGGAGATGAGCCCCAGTGCATCGCAGGCTCGCTGGCCCCCCAGCCCCTCTAACATCTGGAAGCCATTGCCTTCGCCAGCTAAACATTGAACTGGCTTAATGAAGGCTCTCTGCGCCGGAACCCTGGGGGCACCACAGGTCTAGAAGGCAATGCCCCCAGGCCTGGCCCTACAGGGGGTCTGGCCCTGCTGTGGGCAAGAGGGTCAACCCCCCAACTCCCAAGTTGGGTTGTGCTTACAGGGCAGGCCATCCTGTGGGTCACTGGCTTTCTGCCTTGTGTCCCAGCCTTCTCTGTGGTTCAGTAGCCTGAATTGCCGAGCATCTTCCCTCCATCAGAACATGCTAGAGCGAGCTTTAACAGCAGTTATGACACAGTAGCGGGTGTCACTCCTCTGGGTAATTGTTGACTGGTGCTTTGCTCAGTGATGCTTCCCTCCTGACCCCTGACAAGGCCTGGCCCGGGGGAAGGGGACGGTGGTCACGGAACCTGCTTCTTTGCTGTTGGGGGAGTTGCCTCACATGCTCGGCCAGCTTCTGTGGGTCTCTCCAGCTGGGAGTCCTCAGCCGCTGCTCCCTTCTGTCCACCCCCACATGGATGAAGAACCTTGTCCTCATTCCTTGGCTAAGACAGGTGGGACCTTTTCAAGAAACACATTACTTAGAAAGCAAAGCAAGACACAACAATGAAGTAGCTCCAATTATAAAAACAGATGCATTTTCAGAATACAGAATTCTTATCATGTGATAGTTGAACTCTAGCCATAAACTTCTAGGCACATATCTTCTAGCTCAGTCTGAAAAAAAAAAAAAAAACCTCTCATTTTCCAGTTCTTTTGATTCCTTTCCCTTTTGTAGAAGATCACATGGTAAGCAGAGCTGAAGGACTATGATATTTAGAGCAAGAATGACCAATAAGTAGCATGCAAGACACCACTTTCAAAACCCACATTCGTGGCAGACATTGCTAGTCAATCACAGAACTTTTTCTACTTGGGGCTGAATGTGGCTTTGCCTTTCTTCTTCAGACAGCTTTTCAGGAAGCGTTTCCAGTAGCTTGGAGTTGGCAAGCAACAGGATACCACTGTGATTGTTCAGGTGTATATTAAAGTCACAGCCTACTTGGTTTTTTTTTTTTTGGTTTTTTTTTTTTGTTGTTGTTGTTGTTGTTTGGTTTTCTTTTTTGAGATGGAGTTTTGCTCTTGTCACCCAGGCTGGAATGCAGTGGCACGATCTCAGCTCACTGCAAACTCTGCCTCCTGGGTTCAAGCGATTCCCCTGCCTCAGCCTCCCAAGTAGCTGGGATTATGGGCGCCTGCCACCATGCCTGGCTAATTTTTATATTTTTAGTAGAGATGGGGTTTCACTGTGTTAGCCAGGCTGATCTCGAACTCCTGACCTCAGGTGATCCGCCCGCCTTGGCCTCCCAAAGTGCTGGGATTACAGGCGTGAGCTACCGTGCCCAGCTGCATACTTGTTATTTTTAAATGATTTTACTTTAATAAAAAAGTACTATGAAGAATTTCCAAGGTACAGAAAAGTAAAAAGAAAACACCTACCAACTAGATTCAACAATTGTTTACATTTCTGCTCGACTTGCTTTATCTCTCTCTTTATACTTTTTGCTGAATCATGACACCTTATCCATAAATAATTCAGCATGGATTTCTGAAAAAAGATAGTCTTCAACATAACCCACCATATCATCTAATAAAATTAATGAGTTTCCTAGTATCATCCCATACACAGCCCATGTTCTAATTTGCCTGTCTAATTTGCCAAACTGTCTTTGATCACAGTTTTCGTCAAATCAGGATTTCATCAAGGGCTGTGCGTTTCCTTTGGTTGTTGTGTCTATTAAGTCCTCTTTGGTCTGAAGCCATCAGCCCTTTTTTTATGACACTAAGCTGTTGAAGAGGCATGGATTCGTACCCTGTCCCATGTTCTAGAGCCTTCTGATTATTTCCTCGTGGTGTCATTAACTTTTTTTTTAATCCCCTGTGTTTCCCCCAAAGTGGATGAGTCCAAAGGCCTGATTCGATGAAGGCTGACATTTTTGGCAGGAATATATATTTCCTAGTTGGTGCTGAGTGTGTCTTCTGTTGTATCACACCAGGAAGCAAATAGTGTCTGAGCATCCCATTATTACTGATGATAAGTTCGATGACTGGGTGAGGGTAGCGACAGCCAGCTCTCTGCATGGTTGGGCCGTGTTTTTGCCTTTATGACTCAAGTGTAGGGTAATGTTCTGGCTCTGTGTGGACATCTAGTTCCCATCAACCTTTCATCTAATAGTTTTAGCATCCACTGAGGACTCTTGCCTGAAATGATTATTTCATTAGGGGCTGCAAAATGATGATTTCCTAACTGCATCATTCCTCCCACATTTATGAGTGGGCATTCTTCCTAGAAGAAGAACTTTTATGCATCAAAAGCGATGGATGATTTGGTTTCTCTGAAGTACAATTTCTACTGAAAAGGCACGGAATCACACTTCATTCTTTCTCTTCAATTAAGGAGTCACTTCAGTGGTGTCAGGGGAAGTTTTACTGTTTTGAATTTTGCTTTCTCTTTTTTGAGTACCATTATGTGCCCATGGATTATATTATTCGATGTGTTTCAATTGAGTACAGTTATTATTCTCTTTTGGGTTCAAGTTGTCCCAAATTTAGTCCGTGGGAGCTCCTTCAAGCTGGTTCCTATGTCCTTTTGATATGTCCTTATTTGTCTTTGAGAACTTCTTTGTTTTGTGGAATAACCCATCATCCCAGGCTCACCTTATAAATTGCCTGCCCCAGACCTGGAATTAGCCATTTCTCCAAGGAACCCTAGTGGGGAAAGGTATTTAGAAACCAAGATCTGGGTACTGGTGATGATCATTGATATTGAGAATTTGGGCCATCATTGCTTCTGGATCAATTGCCCTATCTATCTATCTATCTATCTATCTATCTATCTATCTATCTATCTATCAACCTACCTACCTACCTATCATCTATCTCTATCTGGAGAACTTATACTGACATTTCCAATTCAAATTTTACATTGTGAATCTTTTGCTTAGCTCATTTGATTTTATACTTGCAGCTCTCTCTTACATTTGTTTATAAGAAAGAAAATCTCGATTCCGAAAATATTAACATCTTTACTTATTTGCTTTATATATCCAACAAGATATATAAAATGGTTTCCAAATCCCAATGCTGATAGCTCTTCCAAGTTAAATCTATTAACTAAAGACTTTTTTGTATAGTTCTTGTTGTCCTCCTACTGAGAAAGGATAATTGAACCACTGGGTTCAGAATTCACTTGGAGGTTTTCTTTTCTTTCTGTGGTTGTGGTATCAATTTTATGGTTGAGATCATTGTGTTTCAGTTTTAGGGTCTGCACAGGATGGATGCTCTTTGAGGTAACTTGGCCTGGAAAGAGAAGGTTCAGACTTGAAGGGGCCCCCTTCCTCTCCCCCTTTCTTGGTTTCCTTGCTGGAATCTAGGTGACTTCGCTATTGCAGAGGAGGAGGCGTGAGCTGGGGAAAGGAGGGATGTGGAGTGAGGTGCCGGAAAAGTGGACTTAAGGCCAGCCTGATGGCTCTGCCCAGGAGATGCATGTCCTACTGAACTCACACAGCTAGCAGATGCCTCCCGAGCACCCACTCTGTGCCTGGCAGTGAGCTCAGGGCTGAGACACACATGGGCGCAGCAGAAGCTCCCACAGAGCTCCCAGGCCAGTAGGGATGAGAAGCCCTTGGAGTGCAGATTGCTGTGAAATAGGATGTATCAGGGAACAGAGCCTTTTCAGGATTAGAGAGGCCTCTTCAAGCAGTGAGCTGAAGAATAGCAAGGAGATGGTTGATGAGGAGCCAGGGCGTTCCTGCAAAGAGCACGGCATGTGTGGGTGGGGGCTGCCTGTGGGAGGGGTGGGGTCCAGCGTAGCAGGCAGGGAGAGGCAGTGGCACAGTGACCTTGGGTTGGCATAGATGCCTAGGACCATAGAACAGAGGGTCTTGAAGGCCACGATCAGGATTTGGAGAAACTAAATAAGTCTGTGCTCAATTTTCATAGGGGGAGTATCTCTGAGGGAGTTTGGGAACCTCCTAAAGTCATACCCTAAACGTGTACCTAAGGAATAGGATGGTATCCCAGGCAGAGGGTCCTTACCTTGTATCGGATTCTCAGTGGGACTTGTCCAAAGGATGTAAGATTTTAGAATGGATAATATTATAGAAACCAAGGATTTAGGATTTCTCAACATTGCAAAAATCCATCCAGCAATTCCTCACCTTCTGTGGATTGGAAAGAGACATGAAGTCTTTGCGGCAGTGCCTCTCGGTCCTGCTTAGGGAACCTGGCGCCCTGGTGGGAGAACAGTTGGAGGCCCCTGGGATGATCAGTCATGAACTACATGAGTCTGGGGGAGTTTCCAGATCTCCAGGGTTCATTGTGTGTAAGAGGCACCTGGAGGAAGTATGGGTGCTGTGGAAGGAGGCCAGGTGGAGAAGTGGGGAAGAGTCTTCCCAGCCGAGGGACACACCCTTGCTCCTTCTGCGCTGAGTCCTCCGAATGCCTGAATTCAGGCTTCACAGCTTGGAGCCTATAGAAACCAGGAGGGTCACATGTGTGAATCGGGTCTGGTGTTGGACATGGGGCAGTGGGGTGGCCTTGGGCAACCTGGAAAGTTTGTATGCTGCCTAAAATCCATGGGAGGGGGAAGGCAGTGTGGGCACCTGCTGGCATCAGCTCCTCATACTTGCCTCCAGGTGCTGAAGTGGGTGGAGTCGGCGATCCAGGCCTCCAAGGTGCACCTGCTGTCCACAGACCACGAGGAGGAGGGGGAGCACACATGGAAACTCCCCTTTGACCCCAGCCTGAAGGAGGTCACCATCTCATTGAGTGGGCCAGGGCCTGAGATTGAAGTCCAAGATCCACTGGGTATGGACCACCACGGGATTGGCTTCCTCTTTGGCCCCAAGACTGAGCTGGAAGCCCAGGATGGAAAAAAGAAAGAGACCAAGGGTGGCAGGGCTTCAGACATGAGGCTCTAGGAAGAAGGAAATGTGGGGTGGTGGGGCACGAAGTGGAGAGAGGGTGCCCATGGTGTGCGAGGAAGCCGGAGGGCCATGACAACTGACGATGGGAATTAAAGTAATGGTGGTCTCTGGATCGTGAGGCTCTCCCCAAGTCTTTTCCATGGTACCCCAGTGGATTCTCATGGTGGTGAGAACTCATAGCACATCGTACAGATGGGAAGCTGGGGCTCCGGGTGCTGAGTGCTCATCAAGGTCAACAGAGTCAGGGGCAGTGTGATTCAGACGTGGTCACCTGGCCCCATGGTGCTCTGAGGATGTCATGAGCGCCCAGGTCTAGAGGCCAAACACACAGCCCACCCCTGGTTATCCTTGAGGGTGGAGCGTGGAGTGAGGCAGCAGTTCAAGGCAAGACACCTTGTCAGTTCTGGGAAGACTGAGGCTAGTGTTTGGTGCACTGTGGATTCCTGGAGACATGCGGGAATCCTGCCACCCCCAGGAAAGGGTTAGGGACTGAGCAGCCCTTGGGGCTTCCACAGGGAGGATCCTGCAGGAGGACGAGGGCCTCAAAGTGCTTCTCAACATCCCTGACTCGGCCAAGGTCGTAGCCTTTAAGCCTGAGCATCCCGGGCTGTGGTCCATCAAGGTAGGGGCACTGGGTTGCAGGAGAAGAGTGGACTAGCTTCACTGGGCTAGAACCATCTTCCTCCTGCTTGCCCTGGGGAGCCTGTGGCCTCGGGAAGCTGATGGCTAGAGTGTGGGTGGTGATATGGTCATATCAGCAGAAGTAAAGGGTCAAGGACAGAGGAAGGGCATTCTGCCTTGTACCAGTAAGAAGAAATAGAGTGGTTTGGGGTTAGTTTGGGAACATTTAAGAAGGACTTGGAGAAATGACTTCAGGGTTCAGAGGTGCATGACCAAGCTGTGAAGAATGTGTAAAAGAAGCAAGAGCAGCTTTGCTGGGAGGGCTCAGTGGGGCAGGGCTGGCAGGAAGAGGAGGGGCCTGCTGGAATAGACAAGGTGCTGGGAGCGAGGGACTGCGGGCCAGCTTGGCTCCCGACGGAGCATCCTGGGATGGGCAGGCGGCTGCCCTGGAAGAGGGGGGGTTTCTGCTGACCAGGCAAACATGTATTGAGCACCTTCTGCAGGCACCGTGCCAGGTGCTGCAGGTAAAGTGGCAGTACCACCACCTGCCTTTCAAACTCTGAGCACCTCTGAGCCAAGAGCTGTAATACCAGTGGGGAGGGCAAGGCAGGGAGTTAGACGTGCAGGGGGACAGACAGGGCCTGCAGGGGCTGAGGCGAGCTGAGGGGCAGCACGGCTTCAAGAGTGCTGCTCAGGTTGGGGTCATAAGCTGGGGCTTCAGCTCCTTCATTTGGGGAGCATTGTGCTGGGCCCCTTGGGAGCAGGTAAGTTGCCCGTGTGTCTACAAAAGCAGGATTCCAGCTGCTGATGCAGGGCTGGGTCAGGTTGGTCACCTCCTGCCCTAAGCTGGAGTGCTGGGGTCCCATCCTCTGGTGATGTGAGACCTGGGCCTGTGCTAGGTCTATAGCAGTGGCCGCCATTCCGTGAGGATCACAGGCGTCAGCAACATTGACTTCCGAGCCGGCTTCTCCACTCAGCCCTCGCTGGACCTCAACCGCACCCTCGAGTGGCCCTTGCAAGGTACAGTACCCCAACCCTACAGACAATGCTGCGCTGCCTCTGAAGACCTGGGGCTTGGCTTTGGGAGGTAGAGGGGAAGTGACGGGGGAACGCTTGGCTGTGTGTGACTGTGAAAGGGACCGTACAGGAGGCCAAGTGGGGCTGTGCCCCCAGACCACAGCGATGTAAACAGCTTCCAGGCCAGCATTCTTTCCATTAGCCCCAGCCAGGTGACATTGTGACATTTACCTTTAGAACATCCTTCCTGCCTCCAAAGTCAGTGTCCTGGAGGACACTTACACTGTGCCCTTTATTATTGAGTTCACACCTTCTCCTTTCTTTTTGTCAAAACAACTCTGCCTAAAGTCCTACTTCTTCAGTTTTCCAGTGAACAGCAGAGGCCAGTTCAATGAAAGAACATGTGCCAGCGAGTTAACGGCTTACCAAAAAAGGAAAGCAGTGCCTTACTGCAAAAGAAGGAATGTCCTGGGGGACATTTGGGTGTCCCAAGTCTGAGGAAGGTTGGAGGAGCCTAGGGGGATATTGAGGGTGGAGGCACAGGCATCCAATTGGAAACCACCCACCAGGGTCCGAGAATGCCTGCATGCTCACTAAGGTTCCACTGGGAGAAGCCTGGGCACCGAGGCAGGCTTCTGGTGCAGGCTGCCTGAGCTCCACGCCAGGAAATACCATCTGGTGGCCAGGTCAAAGGTCTCAGTTTATAGATGGGAAAATGTAGTCCCTGTCATGGGACCATTTGGAGACTTTTGCAGGGACTAGCTCAGCTCAGCTCAGCTCCTCCTAGGAGGAGCCTGGATCAGGTCAGGCTGACTCTGGACCCTGAACAGTGACCAAAAATGGTGCAAGCCAGACCTTCAGTGCTTTCTTTCGAGTCTGTCTGTTCTAATGTTTGTTTTTCTTGTCAGCCCTTGTCAGTTTTCCTGCCAGGACCGGGAGTCATATCTTGAAAGTGAAAAGGGGCTGCTTGCTCAGTTTGTGTGTTTTGCTGATAGCAGAAAGGGAAGAAGCAGGGAAACTTTGATTCCACTGTTCAGCCAGGACAGCCAAGATATCCTACGTGTAGTGATGGTGTGGGGACTGAAAACTGACCTGTCCCCAGGGCCTGTCCCCAACGGAAGTGGGTGCAGGAGGCCACATGTGACCTTGCTAGGTTTCTGCTTTTGATAAAGATGTATATCCAAGATCTTTTTTTTTTTTTATATAGATGGAGTCTCACTCTGTCACCCAAACTGGAGTGCAGTGGTGCAATCTCTGCTCACTGTAACCTCTGCCCCTGGATTCAAGCAATTCTGTTGCCTCAGCCTCCTGAGCAGCTGGGATTATAGGTGCACACTACACACCTGGCTAATTTTTGTATTTTTAGTAGAGACAGGGTTTTGCCATGTTGGCCAGTTTGGTCTTGAACTCTTGACCTCAGGTGATCTGCCTGCCTCAGCCTCCCAAAGTGCTGGGATTACAGTCATGAGCCACCATGCCAGGTCATGATAATTTTTTTTAAACAGAAACATGTGGGAGGCCAAGGTAGGAGGATAGCTTGAGGCCAGGAGTTCAAGGCCAGCCTGGACAACACAGCAAGACCTCATCTCTACAAAATTTAAAAAATTAGCCAGGTATAGTGGTGCATACCTGTAGTCTCAGCTACTTGGGAGGCTGAGGTGGGAGGATTGCCGGAGCCCAAGAGTTTGAGGCTGCAGTGAGCTGTGATTATACCACTGCACTCCAGCCTGGATGACAGAAATTTTTTTGTTTTTTTTGTTTTGTTTTGTTTTGTTTTTTTGAGACGGAGTCTTGCTCTGTCGCCCGGGCTGGAGTGCAGTGGCCGGATCTCTCAGCTCACTGCAAGCTCCGCCTCCTAGGTTTAGGCCTTTCTCCTGCCTCAGCCTCCCGAGTAGCTGGGACTACAGGCGCCCGCCACCTCGCCCGGCTAGTTTTTTTTTTTTGTATTTTTTAGTAGAGACGGGATTTCACCGTGTTAGCCAGGATGGTCTCGATCTCCTGACCTCGTGATCCGCCCGTCTCGGCCTCCCAAAGTGCTGGGATTACAGGCTTGAGCCTCCGCGCCCGGCAGAAATTTTTAAAAGATATTATGAAATTGGAGTCCAGTTCTGCCTCTTCTGGGATAGTGTGAAAAGTACCACATTTCCATCAAGACAGTAAAGAAAACCAAAGAAAACGTGACCATGGGGAGAGTCTGGTCAGAAGTTGGAGTCCCCAGACTTGGTGTTTGCTTTATCTTAGACCATTCCCTGAAACCTGTCTGATTATGACCCACACTACAGCTAATGGGGTAGGGGACAGTTCTACTCCATGGGACTCCAAGTCAGTGCAGACAGAGGGGATGCAGCCATTGGGAAGCCGTGGTTGGACAACTGTGGTGTTTCAGCACCACGGACAGTAGCAAGGTCCCTCTCTACCTATCCCATCCCCAGCGTTAGTCAGCACCAGGGTATGTAGGGAAGGAGGAACCAGGTAGGAAGGGCCAGGCAAGTAGGACCCCTGGGGTGTGGTTCAAGGGCCCCTACTTGAGGCGGATCACAGAGCCAGACACTGACGCCAGCACTTTGTTCTTCACCTTCCCTCTGCAGGGGTCCCCATCTCCCTGGTGATCAATTCCACGGGCCTGCAGGCACCTGGCCTCCTAGACTCGGTGGAGCTGGCACAGAGCTCAGGGAAGCCCCTCCTGACCCTGCCCATGAAGACCCTCTCCAATGGCTCCACCCACCAGCTGTGGGGCGGGCCGCCCTTCCACACCCCCAAGGAGCGCTTCTACCTCAAGGTGAAGGGCAAGGACCATGAGGGAAACCCCCTCCTTCGTGTCTCTGGAGTGTCCTACAGTGGGATGGCCCCAGGTGAGTGGTTGGCTGTTTTGTCCCCCAGCCCCCTGGCTCACTCAGAGTCCCATTTCTTCCTGGAGCCTTCCCTGACTGGATTAGATTAAATTAGATTAGAAAGTATTTGTTCGTTAAGCTTCTATGGACAGCTATTCCCTATAAGGCATTTTGTTAAATACTAAGGTGCTTCAGATGTGGCTCTCGGCTCAAAGGTTTAGAACAAAGTCATCCATTCAGTATCCATTCATCCATCTACCCATTCATCCATCCATCCACCCATTCATTCATCCGCTGACCCATTAACTCGTCTACCCATCTACCCACCCATTCATCCACTCATCCACCCACCCATTCATGCATCCATTGACTCACCTATTCATCCATCCACCCACCCATTCAATTACCCACTGACCCATTAACTCGTCTACCCATCTACCCACCCATTCATCCACTCATCCACCCACCCATTCATGCATCCATTGACTCACCTATTCATCCATCCACCCACCCATTCAATTACCCATCCACCCACCCATTCACTCACCTATCCATATACCTACCCATTCATCCACTCATCCAACCACCCAATCATGCATCCATTGACTCACCTATTCATCCACCCACTCACCCATTCACTCACACATCCACCCACCCATTCACTCACACATCCACCCACTCATTCACTCACCCATCCATCTACCCACCCATTCATCCACTCATCCACCCACCCATTCATGCATCCATTGACTCACCTATTCATCCATCCACCCACCCATTCAATTACCCATCCACCCACCCATTCACTCACCTATCCATCTACCCACCCATTCATCCACTCACCCACCCATTCATGCATCCATTGACTCACCTATTCATCCATCCACCCACCCATTCAATTACCCATCCACCCACCCATTCACTCACCTATCCATCTACCTACCCGTTCATCCACTCATCCAACCACCGAGTCATGCATCCATTGACTCACCTATTCATCCATCCACCCACCCATTCACTCACCCATTCATTTACCCATTCATGCATCCATCCACTTACCCATTCATGATTCATGCATCCATCCACTCACCCACTCGTGCATCCACCCACCCACCCATCTATCTATTCATCCATCCACTCACCCCTTCAGTCACCCATCCATCTACCCACCCATTCACTATTAATTCACCTATCTATCCATCTGTTTATCCATCTATCCACCCATTCATCCACCCACCTGTCCACCCACCCATCCACCCATCTATTCAGCATTCATCGTGAGTATCTACTATGTACCAGTCATGGTGCTAGGCACTGTAGACACAGCAATGGGCAGGGAAGACATGGGCATTTGCTCTTCCATAATCACAATCGCTGTCATAATCACAATCATCTAAGTCACCATTTGGACACTTTCCATGGGGCAGTCCTGGGCCAAGCTCCTGCCATGTGCTAGCTCACTGATGCTTACAGCTTTTCTGAGGTGTGTCCCCACTTCATAGATAAGGAAACTGAGCCCACCTGGCTCACAGGGCTGCCCTGGGGGTGCCCAGGCTAATGCACACAACAAGATAGCATTTGGGTCCTCAGAGGCCACACTCAGAATGTATCCATTTGTGGGCAAGGGTCCTCCAGTGTGGCAGCTGCTGTTACCGTTACATCATTGCAGGAACAGGTCGATTTGTCCTCTAATCTTTGGCCATGGTCTGTTGGTTCCCATATGTGTGGCTTTTTGCTGGTTTCCTGAGTGTCCCTGAGGTATCACTGTTCAGGCTGGAAGCTCCCAGGGAGATGGGTGGATCTTTGGCCTTTCAAATCTGCCCCTGGTCCTAGCAGGGATGTCTAGAGTCACTGGTCATCTTGCCTGCTGGCTTCATTGCCTTTCTCCTGCTCACTGTCTCCCTCCCCTGGAGGTGGCCTGAGGGGAGCTTACAAAGGTGGATGTCACTAACATTCTAGCACTTCTTTGTGGGGGATCTCAGTGAGAGGCATCCTCCTCTGTCCACTTCAAATAGGGATGCAGGGAGGGGAAGAAAGGCCAGCTCTTGAGGCTGGCCATGGTGCCCATCGTGCCCATGGTGCCCATGGTTGGTAGAGGACTTTGAGGACCTGGGTGGGGCAGGGCAGGACTGGGCAGGAGAGCTGGAGACCTATTCTTTCCAGCCTCCCAGCTTCCACTCCCCTCCTGTGGTTCCGGGGCCTCTCTTCCCTTGGCCTTTGCAGCCTTGAGGAGGAACTTTCAGGAAGGAATTTCAGCAGGGGGAATAACAGCCTCTGTTTTCTTTCCCCTGTTCTTTCAGATGGATCCAAGAGTTTGGAGCTTAGCTCTGGCTTTTGTTCTCTATCTCAGCTCTAGATTGGAGTTGGGGGAGGGATTGGTTTGGATTTTTGTTTCCTTCCCTGCCCTCCAGGTCTGGAAGGCTGGGATTTCGCCTTGTAGCAGGTGGCTCTGGGTTTAGAGAGATGAGGGCGGTCCCTTTTAGCTCATGGAAATGGGGAGCCCAAGCTGGCTTGGCAGAGGCTCCCAGGGTGCGTGGGTGAGCGGCGACGGCTTTGCACACAGCTGAGGACGTGGCTGGATGGTCGGACACCCCTCCCCCCCGGGACAGATGTGGCAGGGAGCCTGGAGCATGATGTCACCACTGCCTGCCCATCCCCAGCCTGGGCTCCGAGGAGGTCTAGTGCATTGTCTCACCCCCGGAGCATCTCTGCTGGGCTCCTCTGCTGGCGGGGATGGGGAGACAGTGACACACAGATTGAGCCCTTGCCAGGGAGCACCCAGCTCTGATGGGCCACGGCCAACCCTGTGGGGCAGTTTCTCAGACTTCTCCATTGAAGTAATTCCAATAGCCAAGGGAAGGGACTGTGTCACTCCAAGACCAGGCTCAGGCCAGGGGGACAGTGGCGTCTGATTGGGGTCCCATAGGGCTCATTACAAGCTATGAAATTTTATTGAAGTCTCTGGTTTTATCTCAAAAATGTGTGCGAATTTTGCATTTATACCCATCCTCTAGCTGTGCCTTTTTTTTTTTTTTTTTTTTTTGAGATGGAGTGTCTCTCTGTAGCCCAGGCTGGAGTGTAGTGGTGCGATCTTGACTCACTGCAACCTCTGCCTCCCGGATCCCAGTTCAAACAATTCTCCTGCCCCAGCCTCCTGAGTAGTAGCTGAGATTACAGGAATAGGCCACCATGCCCAGCTAAGCTTTGTATTTTTAGTAGAGACAAGGTTTCACCATGTTGGCCAGGCTGGTCTTGAACTCCTGACCTCGTGATCTGCCCACCTCCGCCTCCCAAAGTGCTGGGATTATAGGCGTGAGCCACTGCACCTGGATTGGTGGGCTAATTTTTAAATGAAAAGGCTTATTTCCAACAAAGTTGGGTAAAACTGATGTTCTAGGCAGAGAAGCAATTGCACAAACCCACGCATACCCTTGGGAGCCTAATCCTAGTTGGTAGCATTTCATCAGATTTCATACAATTGAGACGGTGCAGCGGAAGGGCCTGGTCCGGGCTGGCCAGTCTTGAGTTGAATAGTCTAACAAACCACAAAAGCCCCAGGAGCTGCGCCTAGGGAAACTGGTGATGCCACATGTATTGTGCCACGAGTTCTCCATGCACCACTTCTCACCAGCTCCTCAGGACAACACAGGGAGGATGGTACCATGATCACCCCATTTTGCAGAGGTGAAAACTGAGCTTAGAGAGGTGACCACCAAGTGGTGGAGCCAGGGGTTGAATCCTGGCCTCCTGGCTGCTGGTACATCCCTACGGGTCTCTGTGTCACCGGGTGGGGTGAGGGGGCGGTGGGCAGACATTCTGAGTCCTGGTCCCTGCCTACAGGCGCTCCCCTCGTCAGCATGGCCCCCAGGATCCATGGCTACCTGCACCAGCCCCTGCTGGTCTCCTGCTCGGTGCACAGCGCCCTTCCCTTCCGGCTGCAGCTGCGGCGAGGTGAAGCCAGGCTGGGCGAAGAGAGGCACTTTCAGTGAGTGGCCCCCGGCAGCTGATTGTCCCCAGCCACAGGGCTCCTGGCTGCTGAGGCCCGGGAGGGATCTCAGGGGAGTGGGTGGCAGGAGAGAGACCCTGGTCTCTGTCACTGTCCTCCTGGGCAGCCCAGCCTGGGACTTCCAGTGCAGCCAGGGATGGAGAAATTTGTCCCTGAGACTCCCACCACTGCTGGGCCATCAGCTGGTGAAGAAGCCGGGGGCCTTCCTCAGCGCCCGGAAAACTCAGCCCATGCAGGGCCCAGCCGTGGGCATCAGAGCAGGAAGGATGGGAGCCCAGGACTTGGAGAGAGTAAGGACCTGACTCCAAGTCACACAGCATGTCATGGACTGTCCATGTACTTGGCTGTGTACGTCTTCTCACTGCGTCTCACAGAGGAATTGGGGTCTGCCCTTGGGGCAGGATTCAGGGGACTGAAGTCCTGAGGGGCAGATGAGGCCAGGGAGGCCCTGACCAGTGATTGTGCGTCTCCTACTGTTCCCTGTTCACAGGCAGTCAGGAAACAGCAGCTGGGAGATCCCGCGGGCCTCCAAGGCCGAGGAGGGCACGTATGAGTGCACAGCCATCAGCAGGGCTGGGATCGGGCGAGCAAAGGCCCAGATTGTCGTCACAGGTCTGTCCCTTGGGGCCCCTCCATGTACCCCTTCTTACCCTCTTCCTGGGTTCTTCCGCCTAGGATTTCCTCCCGGTGAGTCTCCAGCCAGCTGCCGGGACTGTTCGTCATCCCGCGTCTGGCTACCCAGGCTGCCACCTGCCTGCTGCCCTTCCTTTGTGTCTGTCTCACCCAGGAACGGCCTGTGGGTCTCAGCTGGAGGAAGGCTGAGGACACGGCTTGGGTCTTCCTGCCCTGCCCAGCTTTGATCCCAGCTCTGACTTCTTGAGGCTCGGCTTTCAGGGGCCGCCATCCATCTCGCAGTCAGGACAACCTTTGTGCCTCCAAGTCCTGGCCGGGATGGTGCCATCGAGCTGGGGAGGTTGGAAACACCACAGACTGTCTCCAAATGAAATTGGTTTTATTTTAAAAATTACAAATGCAAGCTGCTTTGTAGAGGAAAAAAAAGGAACCCGTAAGTGTGGAAAGATCAGCCACTCTACATAGACAGCCAGAAACTACACATGCTCCTTGTAGGGAGGCTGGAAAAATATAAACAACGAAAGAGAAGATCAAAATAACTTGTAATCCCTCCATTCTGCCATTTGATTTACTTCCTTTTCGGTTTTTTTCGGTTTTTTTCTATGTTCAGCAGTCTCTGATCTTGCCACTTCTTGTGGCTTTTTGCTATCCAGATAGCAGTTTGCTTAGTGCTTTCCTCCCTGGGGGCATATTTGGCTGCTATAAATAGCCTTGCTGTTGGTACAGAGAATCGTTTTGAACACATTGCTCTCTTCCCCTGGCTGGAGATTTCCAAGGCTTTATTCCTCAGTGTGGCATCTTCGACTCGGAGGCACGCAGATGGGCGCCCGGCTTGCTGCACATTGCACTGGCTGTTATTTGGAGAGCAGGCGTGTATCGTGCAGTCCCTGGCGGGTGTATAATGGTGGTGGGAGAAATGACCTCCCACTGGGGTGATGCCTGATGGTGAGCAGATGCTGGTCACCCATGCTGCTGGCTGACATATCCTGAACGATCTGGTTCCGGCGGACCTGCACCTCAGGGTGGGGTTAGAGCAGGGTCCCAGGTCTAGGCAGCATCTGGGCTTACACGATGACCCCCTCCCTTGCCTCAGCTCCTCGGTTCCTCCTGTGCTTATGTCCCTGCAGATCCCCCGCCGCAGCTGGTCCCTGCTCCCAACGTGACCGTGTCCCCAGGGGAGACTGCCATCCTATCCTGCCAGGTCCTAGGCGAGGCCCCCTACAACCTGACGTGGGTCCGGGACTGGCGAGTCCTGCCGGCCTCCATGGGCCGAGTCGCCCAGCTGGCTGACCTGTCCCTGGAGGTCAGGGGCGTCATCCCCACAGATGGCGGGAGGTACCAGTGCATGGCCAGCAACGCCAATGGGGTCACAAGGGCATCCGTCTGGCTCCTGGTGCGAGGTGAGGCTCATTCTGCTGCTGCTGTTCCCTGGTTCAACACTCGACCTAGTGTTTACCCCAGAAGCCGTGACTCCCTCCCTCTGCTCAGACATTGTCTCTGGTAGGCAACAGCAGCCCTTTCAATGTTTTTTGAACTTTCAGGGAGAGAGAATTCTGTAGCCTCCTAGTCAAAGTCTAATGACTCTCACTGCTGGAAAGTTCCTCCTAATACCTAACTTAAATTTCTACTGCTGTAGGCCAAGCCAATTTCACTGTGTCTTGTCCTTTTTTCTGTGCCATCGAGCCCCTCCATTGTTCCCCACTCCCCACTGCACCCTGCCCAATATGTAGGGCAGGGACTGAACTGGAACCTTGTGGAAGCTCAGAAGTCAGATGTATTTGGCAGAGATCGGGCAGCACTGACTAGATGGGGGTGGAGGAGGCAGTGCCAAGAGCACCCATATGGGAGTTTTAAGATCCGGGTATGGCCTCAGGTCTATCGAGAATCTAGACAGAGCCTCCTCCCCAAGTGTAAAAACGAGGATGTTGAACAAGTGTTCTCTCTTGTGCCAGTGGCTTTTGAGTGGCTGCTGGAGTGTGTTGGGCAGGATTCTGAGGCTGTGTCTAGGCTCTGCAGGAAGGAGGGCTCCACCAGGGGTGTCTGCCGCCAGTGTGGGAGGGCTGTGGTTGCTGTTTCTAGATGTGCGGGCCTGTGAGCTCTGTTTGAGTCTGACCAGCCTGTTGTTCGTAGTTTCCAAAAGGCCAGGTTAGAACCTAAGCTTGGGGCCAATAGTAGGGCAGGCCTTGGGGTCGACCTCAAGGTCACTGGAGACAGGAGCCATTCCCAGCCCGGGCAGCGGCCTGACATCTCCCTAAGGCTCCCCAGAGTGCTCAACCTGGAGTGGATGCTCCAGGAGCACAGGGCTCCAGGCTGGAATGGTTGGAAAATCAGCCTCCATGTGGCCTGGGGATGTGCTTGGCGGCCGCCTGGTCTACCCAGTTCCCAGAGAAGCCACCCCCGGGGGACTGAAGCCCTCTGGGGTCTTTGCTTTCTCTGTCTTGCCCATCTGTGACTGTGGGAGGGGAAGGGCCCGGGGCTGGGTGCCTGGGAAGGCACGGCTGCGCTGATGGGCTCATCCTCACCCATCCACTTTTTGGGTCATAGAGGCCCCACAGGTCAGCATCCACACCAGCTCCCAGCACTTCTCCCAGGGTGTGGAGGTGAAGGTCAGCTGCTCAGCCTCTGGGTACCCCACACCCCACATCTCCTGGAGCCGTGAGGGCCAAACCCTACAAGAGGACAGCAGGTGAGGGGCAGGACTCGCAGGGGACCTCTCTGGGCCTTGGCCTTCCTACCTGTAAATGAGGGAGCAGCATTTGCCTTCCTTGCTCCTGGGATCATTTGAGACTCGGGAGTGAGATCACTTTGGAAACATGATGCTACTGTGTGGGCTCAGTGCTCGGGGGCTCAGGCTGTGCGGACCTGCGCCCGAATCCTGCCCCCATCGTTCAGGCTGTGCGGACCAGCGCCGGAGTCCCACCCCCACCATTCAGGATGCGCAGACCTGCGCCCAAATGCCGCCCCCGAATCCCGCCCCCACCATTCAGGCTGTGCGGACCTGTGCTGGAGTCCCGCCTCCACCATTCAGGCTCTGCAGAACTGTGTCTAAATCCCGCCCCCACCATTCAGGCTGTGCGGACCTGCGCTGGAGTCCCGCCCCTGAATCCCGCCCCCACCATTCAGGGTGTGCGGACCTGCACCGGAGTCCCGCCCCCACCATTCAGGCTCTGCAGAACTGTATCCGAATCCCGCCCCCACCATTCATGCTGTGCGGACCTGCGCCGCCCGAATCTTACCCCCACCATTCAGGCTGTGTGACCTTGGGCAAGTCGTCTTACCTCTCTGAGCCTCGTGAATAAAATGTACATAAAGTGCTTAGCACAGGCCTAGAGCAAGCCATCAGTACAGAATGGTCGTCTCGAGTGGCATTGTTAATTTGTTGTTAATGATGACTGTGAAGCAACCCCTTGTGTGACCCGATGTGTTTCTATGGCCTGATTCTAGAATCCATGTGGACGCACAGGGAACCTTGATTATTCAGGCGGTAGCCCCAGAAGATGCTGGGAATTACAGCTGCCAGGCGACTAATGAGGTTGGCACTGACCAGGAGACGGTCACCCTCTACTACACAGGTACCCAGGCCGCGAGCATCACATCGCAGGAGAGGGGCCTCCTTCCCTCCCTCCCTCCCTCCCGTCCATCAGTATTTATGGAGCATTTATCTGTCACGTACCGCACTGGGGGCATAGCAGTGAACCATGATCCCTGTCTGGGTGGAGCTTGTATTCTAAAGGAGGAGGCACACATAGGCCAGTGGGATGCTTCCTGATGCTGAAGGTGCTGTGAAGAACAGAGAGCCTACTGGTGCGAGGGAGGGACGTGTGCCGGGGGCAAGAGGGAAGCAGCTGCCATGCCCAGGACTCGGTCATGACCTCTCTGAGGCAGTGACCCTTGCCTTAGGGTCACTGTGGGAACAGGGTCGCAGGTGGAGGGACCGGGAGGGGGCATTGAACCTGGGGTGCTCCAGGGGCGGCAAGGAGGCTGGTATGGCAAGAGTTGGGATGAGGGAGAGGGCCCCCTGAAGCTGTGGAAGACTTTCTTTAGGACTTTTGAGGGTTGGTTCCAAATTCTGCATCTCTTCCCCTCGCAGACCCACCGTCGATCTCTGCTGTAAATGCTGTGGTGCTGGCGGCCGTTGGGGAGGAGGCTGTGCTGGTGTGTAAGGCGTCTGGGGTCCCCCCACCCCGAGTCATCTGGTATCGAGGTGTGTTGGTGGGGAAGGGCCCTGAAGGAACAGCTTTCCAGAAAGCGGGGGGTTAGGGGGAGGTGGGGGGTGTTCTGAATGAGGAATCTGGGGAGAACTGGCAGGTTCCAGTCCCCCCGCCCCGACCCACAGCCAGTGTCAGAGCTGGTGGGTTCCAGCTCCCCGACCCTCACCCCCAGCCTGTGTTGGCACAGCTGTCGTAGGTATTCAGAGCAGCACTGAGCCAGACCCAGATTTGAATTCTGGCTTCCCTGGGTGACCTTGGGCAAGTGACTTGGCATCTGTGAGCCTCAGTTTCCTCTTCTGGAAAATCAAAGATTGTGTGAGGATTAAATGAGTTCATATGTGCAAAGGTTTTTTTAATTTAATTTTATTTTTTGTTTTATTTATTGATTGATTTTTTTGAGACAGAGTCTCACACTGGCTGGTGTGCAGTAGTGCAATCTCGGCTCACTGCAGCCTCCATCTCCTGGGTTCAAGGGATTCTCGTGCCTCAGCCTCTGGAGTAGCTGGAGTTACAGGGGTGTGCCACCAGGCCTGGCTAATTTTTGTATTTTTAGTAGAGATGGGGTTTTACCATGTTTGACAGGCTAGTCTGGAACTCCTGACCTCAGGTGATCCACTCACCTCGGTTTCCCAAAGTGCTGGAATGACAGGCGTGAGCCACTGTGCCCGGCCATATGTGCAAAGGTTTTAGAACAAGCCTGGCACATGTGCTGTGCTTGGCATTCTTAGTGATAGTGCCGACGATGATGTGATTATCTGGAAATGACAGTAATAATGACAGGGTTGTCCTGAGGCCCTGAGGTCGTGGGCAGAGCATTTTCACGGTGCCCGCTGCCAGGCTGGAGTTTGACGGACAGGTGCTGGGGTTGCACTAGGTCTTTCTGGGAGCAGTACTCTGGGCTCCCTCTGAAAGGTCCACCGGGGTCAGCAATCCTGTCCCCTCCCACCTGGTCATGCTCCATCCCTTGCAGCAGCTGCTTGGGACCTCGTCAGAGCCTCACCCTGACTCTGAGAAAGGCAGGGCAGGTGATATTAGCTCAGAATTGAGCTTTTTTTTTTAGGGTCACAAGCAAGTGGGCGGCACAGGCTTCTAGATTCCTTCTTCACTGCATATTCTGGCCAAGAGCCCTATCAACCCAGCCCTAGAGCCCCTCTTTAAAAGGTGACCTTACCGTGAACTATTCTTCCATCTTCAGAAGGAAGGAGATTCTGACACGTGCTATGTGGATGTCCTGCTAGGTGGACTCTATTCTAGGTGAAGTCAGTCAGACGCAAAAAGACAGATACTCTCTGATTCCACTTACGTGAGTTACCTAGAGACGTCAAATTCATAGAGACGAAAAGATGGAGTGGTGTTCGCCAGGGACTGGGGAGAGGAGAACACGGGGAGTTAGTGTCGAATAGGTATGGAGTTTCTGTTTAGAGAGATGCAAACAGTTCTGTGGAGGCCAGTGATGGCCACGCCACCGTGTGAATGTACTGGAAGCTGCTGAGCTAAAAATGCACACCTAAAAATGGTTCAGATCGTCAATTTTATGTTATGCATATTTTTCTACGATAAATAAAATAAAAATTAAATTAAATTTAAAAGGACGGTTAGAATCAGGGGTATCCATTAGGCCTCAGGGGTGGATGGAAGTCAGGCAAGAAAAATGAGGGAGGGGCCAGGCGCGGTGGCTCATGCCTGTAATCCCAGCACTTTGGGAGCGCGAGGTGGGCGGATCACCTGAGGTCAGGAATTTGAGACCAGCCTGGCCAAAATGGTGAAACCCTGTCTCTACCAAAAATATAAAAAATTAGGTGAGTGTGGTGGTGTGTGCCTACAATCCCAGCTACTTGGGAGACTGAAGTAGGATAATTGCTTGAATCCAGGAGGTGGAAGTTGCAGTGAGCCGAGATCATGCCACAGCACACCAGCCTAGGCAACAGAGGAAGACTGTCTCAAAAAAAAAAAAAAGAAAAGAAAGAAAAAGAAAAATGAGGGAGGGCTCAGGGTTCCCCAGGCCCCTCCCAGAACTGACCCAGATCTCAGCCTGGACCTGGGGGGGAGGAGTGAACACCAGCGGGGAGGTCCAGACATGGAGTTCTTGGGTGATGAGCCTGTCATGCAAGGCCTGGCTTAGCTCCAACCCTGTTCAACAGAGAGAAGGCCCAAGCCCCCTGCATGACTGGACCCAGGGGTCCAGACCTTGGGGCTTAAACCTGCCTCCACCCACCGTCCCCCAGGCCCCAACCTTGTGGAGCTGCAGGAGCCCAGGGTCAGGCTGGAGCAACCTCCCACCCTGGTCTCCATGGTAACAGGGACACTGGCCTGATGCTTTATCCCCATTGGTCCAGGGGGTCTTGAAATGATCCTGGCCCCTGAGGGCTCCAGCTCTGGGAAGCTACGGATCCCGGTGGCTCAGGAGAGAGATGCTGGCATCTACACTTGCCGGGCTGTCAATGAGTTGGGTGACGCCTCTGCAGAAATCCAGCTGGCGGTTGGACGTGAGTCTCCCCCTCCCCTGCCCATTCCCCTTTCCCAGCCTTCTGCCCGCTTCTGAGTAGGGAGGGGAAGCTCTCCCACACCAGTGGCCAGTGTGGATGGCATCATGTGGATCCTGAGTATGTGGGGACAGGGGAAGTCCAGGGGAGGTGGTGCATGCATCAGCTCTTGCTGGGTAACACATAGCCCCCAAGTTGTGTGGCTTAAACAATAAGTATTTATTTCACAGTCTGAGGATCAAGAATCTGAAAGTGGCTTGGCTGGGTGATTCTGGCTCAAGGTCCATCCTGAGATTGAAATCAATATCTTGGCTAGGGCCGCAGTCATCTCAAGGTTTGCCTGGGCCTAGGGGATGCATTCCAGGCTCACTGATGGGGCTGTTGGCAGGAGGCTCCCAGAGAAAAAGAGAGAAAGAGAATCTCAGAGGGAAGCCACAGTCTTGGAAGTAACAAGCCATTGCTTCTGCCCTATTCTACTGGTCCCACAGAGCAACCCTGGTGCAGTGTGTGTGGGAGGGGCTACCCACGGGTGTGAAGACCAGGAGGCAGGGATCACTGGGACCAGCTTGGAGGCCCACCGCAGACAGTTTGGTTCAGCTCGGGATGAGACCTGAATTTGAGTCTCGTCTCTGTCCCCACCTTTGTGCCTTGGTCGTGTCATGGAGCCTCAGTTTCCCTCAGTTTCCCATCTGTAAAGTGAGGCTGACTGCACTACTCCCTTCTGTGGGTTGCTGTGAGGATTCAGTGAGGATCTGTTAGCACAGGGTTGGGCCCATAGTGTTTGCTTAGTAAATCGGGGGAGACGGGTGATCATCCACTTGTTTTCAGATGTGGAGTCCAAATTCCTTGGTGACCAGTACATGGTCTCAGCTGTGACTTCCGGGATATCTCCATTCCAGGTCGGAGTTCCCGGCACTGGGACTTGCTCAGAAGCTGTGGGTACAGCTCCTTGGCACACAGAGCTGGGACAGATCAGGCTCTAAGTGTTTGCTGAAGCCATGGCGAGAGAGGCGGGTGCTGGAGTTCTAGGGAAGCGCAGAGAATCGAGAATGTGCTGGTCTGTACTGAATGGGCCAGGCTGGGCCAGGGCTGGGTGGGGCAGCTGAGGAGGTCCCAAGACGGGCCAGGCTCTGGCTGGAGTAAGCATAGGTAGGAGGGTCTGACCTGGGGGGGTTGTGCTGTCTCAGGGTTGAGATCCTCTCAGGCTTGGGGTGCTCTTAGCCTTCGTTCGCTTGTTCTGTCTTTCATTCCTCCAACACAGGGTCACCAGGTGCTTGTGTGCCAGGCCCTGTGCTGGGGACACAGGGCGGGTGAGACACAGCACCAGCCTTTGTGTTGCTCATGAGCTCAGGCAGAGAGAACAGAGGACAGGCAATGAGCACGCACAGGGCTCCGAGTGGCTGAAAGTTGCATCCTCAGGGGCTGTGGGTGCCCAGAGAAGGCTAATCCCAGGAAGACTTCTTGGAGGAGGCGATGTCTAAACTGAAACCAGAAGCACCCAGAAAGATGACGAGCTGGGAACAGTGTTCCAGGCAAAGGGAACAGCATGTGCAGCCCTCCCCACGGCAAGAGAAGTGAGGCAGAGAGAGGGTAGGGAGGGGGCGGCAGGACAGCTGCCACCTGATACCAGTCACTCCCCACCTGGGGAGCTGCAGAGGAGTTTGGGCTGTGCCCTGAGGGGGTTGGTGAGAGGTTTCCAGGAGGAGGGCAGTGTACTCAGACTTTTCCACTGTGCCTGGGTTCTCAGGTAGGTTAGGCTGGGCCATGGGCTCAGGAGCCTGATAAGGACAGCCACAGAAACACGAGCTGGCACTTCTAGGGTGTTCGCCAGGTGCTGGCGCTAGCCCAGAGCACATTTTGTTGCTGGCTCGTGTAACCCTTACAACAACCCTTGGAGACAGAGCTATCATCATCCCCTTTACAGATGGGGGAAAACAAGGCACAGAGAGGTTGCATGCCTTCACCAAGATCACACAGCTGGTGAGTGGCAGAGGTGGCATCTGAACCAAGGGTCTTGCGCTTTCAGCCCCTGGCCTTGAGTCTGATGCTCACCAGCAGAATGGGCCTGGGTGCTGCTTCCCCTCTCCAAGGCTCGGGCTCCTCATTGCCAAAATGAGATGTGTGAGCAAGAGAGAAGGAAGGCCTGTGGCACGTGAGCTGTGATCCAGCTGCTGACACTGGTATTAGAGGTTCTGGGTGAGCAGATAGGGTGCTCCAGGGAGGGCGCACCTAGTGTTGTGATGGGCTTTGTCATCTTTTGCTCAGCATCTGACTTATTTGAAGCAGAGCCATATTTCTTTTTCTTTTTCTTTCTTTCTTTCTTTCTTTTTTTTTTGAAACAGAGTCTCGCTCTGTCGCCTGGGCTGGAGTGCGGTGCAGTGGCGCAATCTTGGCTCACTGCAACCTCTACCTCCTAGGTTCAAGCGATTCTCCCACCTTAGCCTCCTGAGTAACTGGGATTAGAGGCATGTACCACCATGCCCAGCTAATTTTTGTATTTTTAGTAGAGACGGGGTTTCACCATGTTGTTCGGACTGGTCTCAAACTCCTGACCTCAGGTGATCTACCCACCTCGGCCTCCGAAAGTGCTGGGATTATAGAGATGAGCCACTGTGCCTGGCCCAGAGTCATATTTCTTTGGGATCCAGGCTGAGTGCCCGCCTAGACCTGTTCCTTTGCCTGTCTGCTGTTGACCTTGGAGCCATGTCCCTGTGGCAGAGTTTCTGGGCTAACTAGGTCAGGGAAAGGATGGACAATGGCCCAGCACCTGTGGGTCTGGGGTGAGCTGGTCTGGCAGCAGTGGTGGGAAATGAAATTTCCTGCCTATCTGGGTGGCAGCTGTGGTCCACCCTTCCTGGCCAAGCTGGCAGAGGTCAGGAACGGGTGTGTACTGTGCCCGCTTCCTGCTGTTGAGCTGAGAGCTGGCTTCCTGGTAGTGTCTGGGGCATAGGAAGGGAGGCACTCTACTCCTCTGTGCCAGGAGGACCTGCAATTGTCGACCAGCCTGCGAGGCACTGGTGGATTATCTTCCGAGCCTGGCATCTGCCAATCAGGAGTCCTAGGCTCCATGCCCAGGTCCGCTGGTATTTGCGTGCATTATTTACCTCTTGGAGCCTCACTTTCCTCGTCTGTGAAACGGGGAGGGTCGTAGCAGAGCTGTGCTCACAGGGCCCTCGAGAGGCTTCCTGAGAATGTGCTTCGCTCAGGGCTTGTATGGAATAAATAATCAATGCATGTGAGCACCCTCCCCGCAAAACCTGTGTCCAGGCTGGGTGAGCTGACCAGCACTTGGTGAGGCGGGATGACTCGTCACATGGCTGGTTGCCTGACTGTGTGTGGCACCCCCCTCCTGAGTTCAGTGCCCTGAGCTGTGGTCTGTGCTTTACTTGATTCCTCTCTAAATGAATGTGTGTGTCCTCTTTTTTTTTTTTTTGAGATGGCGTCTTATTCTGTCACCCAGACCGTAGTGCAATGGTGCGATCTTGGCTCACTGTAACATTCGCCTCCCGGGTGCAAGTGATCCTCTTGCCTCAGCCTCCCGAGTAGCTGGGATTATAGGCACGCACCACCAGGCCTGGCTAATTTTTGTGTTTCTTGTAGAGACGGGGTTTCTCCATGTTAGCCAGGCTGGTCTCGAACTCCTGACCTCAGATGATCCGCCCACCTCGGGCTCCCAAAGTGCTGGGATTACAGGCGTGAGCCAGTGCGCCCGGACTAAATGGATATGCCTCCTCTTTCTGTCCTCTCGTTTCAGTCCCTGCTTCTTAGTCCCATCCTGGAAGCTCCTGGTTGCTGGGGGCTGAGCTGGGGAACAAGGAGATGTGCTGTTTTAGACACTAAAGACTCTCTGGCCAGCCTTGGGGGAGGGGAGTTGGGGAGAAATGGGCCGGGCTCTGTGATGAGGGGGCCATGGCAAGGTGACTTCTCCATCAGGCACAGCAGGTACTGGCAGAAGGCCCTGCACTTGTAGGGGTCCAGGATGCTTTTCTAATTTTGATTTCTTTTAAAATCAGAGGAAAAAAATGACCAATAGTGAACAGATAAAGACAAATCCAGCCTGCATCGTTCATGTCTTTGTGCCAGTGCAGTTATGAAATGTAATTTTCCTTGTTTCTTTATGGAGGAAGAGGAGTAAAGGTATCTCGTGGCCGTGACCAGCAGAGCTGCCACTCTAGGTCCAGTCACAGGATTCCCTCTGTGCGAAAAGCGTTCCCCGAGTTCTCAGGAAAGGGGGCTGTGGAGACCCCTCCCCAGGGTCCACTTTGCCCATCTGCACAGTCTTCAGGCCTGAGACTCCTCCCTCCTCCTGGTAAACTGAGTCACAGGGGGCTCTTCTGGGGCTGGCTGCACTCCCCCAGGCCTGCCCCCGTGCTCTGAGCCACAGCCCTGGGTGGGGGGCAGAGGCTAGGGGTGCGGGCTCTGCAGGCAGTGATAAGGAGTCCTACAGCTGTAAGGTACTGGGACCAAAGTGAAAATAGAGTTACCGCCTTCCAGATGGGTAAACTGAGGCCCAGAGTGAGGCTGGGGCTCATTCCCGCATGCCCAGTGAGGCAGAGGCAGAGTGGGGGCCTTCAGGCCAGTGTCCCTTTCGCTGGGGGAGCAGCAGGGGCAGGGGAGTCACCACCTCTGTCATCTGACTTCACCAGGGCCTTTCCCCTGGAAAATCCCCGGGAGGGGACTGTGGCCTGACCAGCTTGGTCTGTGCTCTCACCCTCAGCAGCTCTGAGAGCGCCTCCTGCAGTTGCTCAGCAGCTTCACCTGCAAGCAGGAAGTTAGTTACCCCTTCCCTTTGAACCTGCCCTAGACGAGCTCCTTCCTTCCTCCCTCTTTCCCTCCGTCCCTCCCTCCTTCCCTTCCTCCCTCCCTTCCTTCCCTCTGCCCTAGATAAGCTCCTTCCTTCCTTCCTTCCTTCCTTCCTTCCTTCCTTCCTTCCTTCTTTCCTTCCTTCCTTCCTTCCATCTATCCATCACCTGTCTCTGGGTGCTTACAGCTCCCACCCCAAAAAACTGACCATGGCCAAGGCAGAAAGGGTCATTCCTGGTGAGCCACAGTGGCCATGGAGCCAGCTCACTGTCCTCCCTGGGTCACGCAGAGGGTCACCTCGGAGTCTGTGTGAGGAGGGGACTGGGAGCCAGAAAGCAGAGATGAGGCCCTGGGCAGAGCACTGGACAGGGAGTCCAGCCTCTCGCCTGACCTCAGCAGGACTCGGGGCCTCAGCCTCCCGCCTGTACAGTGAAGGGCAGACCAGACAGAGGACCTTCAGCTCCGGCATATGAGGGTCCTGGGCTCCTGCCTTATTTGGGGGGCTCCAGGTTAGCAGGGGGAGGGATGGCTGCAGAGACTCATGGAGTCACAGTTGTCTGCATGGGTCTAGGACACAGCAGTGAGCCTGGGATTTGGCTGCTTTGGAATCCACTCTTGCAAGAAGATGGAGGGGGTGAGCGCAGCAATGCCTGGGGCAGCCACCACATGCTGAGGGGGATGCAGGGGTGGGGTGGTTGAGAGCCTGGGCTTTAGCATTGGACAGACCAGGGCTCTGATATTAGCCCTGCCACTGGCTTCAAGCTGTGACCTTGGGCAGGTTCCTTCATCTCTCCAACCTTTAGTTTCCTCATCTGTGAGGTGGGGATTGTGATGGTATCCATTATGAGTTCATCGAGCCATGACTGAAATCATGGTTACAATAAGTGCTGGTCTTCATGTCTGTTACTTAGGGATGCCAGATTGTACCCTTTACACTTGAGCCTCGAGGCTGCAGTGAGCTATGATTGTGCCACTGTGCTCCAGTCTAGATGATAGAGCGAGACCCCACCATCTCTCTCCCTCTCTCTGTCTTTTTTTTGGAGACAGAGTCTTGCTCCGTCACTCAGGCTGGAGTGCAGTGGCGCTATCTCGGCTCCCTCCAACCTCTGCCTGCTGGGTTCAAGTGATTCTCCTGCTTCAACCTCCTGGGTAGCTGGGATTACAGGTGCCCAACACCATGCCTGGCTAATTAATGTATTTTTTTTTTTAGTAGAGATGGGGTTTCCCCATGTTGAACTCGGGAGGCAGAGGTCGCAGGGAGCCGAGATTGCGCTACTGCACTCCAGCCCGGGCGACAGAACGAGACTCTGTCTCAAAACAAACAAAAACAAACAAACTAGAGTCAGGAGACAAAGCAGGGCTGTTTGGGGCTGAGGAGGGCAGGGAATTGAAAGTGATCTGGGAGGAAAGGGATCAGAGGCATGCTTGGAGCAGGAGGCTGGAGCTGGGTTCTGCGGTCGGGCTGGGTGCAGCTGGGGAAGGTAGGCTGTTGCGGTGGTCTGCTCGGGGTAGGTGAGGTGTGGCAAAGCTGTACCCCTGGCGGCCAGGGCTCTGCCGGAACAGTGACCTTGTCTAGGGCGGGTCCAAGCAAAGGCTTTCTGGGATTCTGGGATTCTGGGATTCTGAGCTTCGGCGGCTGCCAGACCCCGATGAGAAAGGGTGGTGTCTGAGGTTGGATCCAAGACTGTCTTCCTCCTCGCAGTAATTTTCCAAGTTGTGTTTATATCTGCCTGGAACTTCTCTAATCCCTGAGGCCAGGAGGGAAATTTGCTGTCATGATTTGGATGGATGAAGGGTATTTCTGAAGACAGATGGAAAGAACAAGGAGGTAGAAGCTTTTCCGGGGTGCCAGACTCAAAGGGTTAAAAAAAAAAAAAAAAAAAAGGCCAGGGACCTCCCTGCTGCAGGGGCCTGGGACAAGGACCTGAGGACAGTGCCCAGAGGCTGCTGAGGGAAGGACCTGGACCCACTTGGCTTGGACCTGCTCCTGGCCTGCTGAAGGAGAGACAGGATCTTGAGTTTCTGTTTTGGGAAATAACTTCTTTTTTTTTCTTCTCCTGATTATAAAAGTCAAATGATGCTTAGGGAAAAAAAAAAAAAAAAAGATGTGGAAGAAACACTGCAAGCTATTAATAGTGGTTACCTTAGGGAAGGGCGTGGGATTTGGGGTGTGTGGAGTAAGAATAAGGAGAATTTCTGCCCTGTGTGTATTATTAGCATGTCTTATACCTCCTGGTTTCCAGGACAGTTGTTGTTTAGCCAGTTGTCCTGGGGTCACTGTTAGTGCAGCCCCTTTTCACTCTCGAGTGGCCAGTTCAGACCCTCATGTATAAGGTCACGTTATTTATAACAAGCAAGTTTTAATTCTGCATGCTCTTTACAAAATAGTTCAGCCAACAGGGCAAGCTCTAGAGAAGAGGGCGAAGAAGACCTATAATCCCCCACGACGCTGGCTGTTTGGGGTGGCGGCCACAGAAGGGGCTGTGGAAATGGCAGCTGAGTCCTGCCAGGGCCCCCAGGCCATGCTCCCCTCCACAGAAGTGGGCCTGGCTTAGGCCAGGCGGTTAAGCATCAAAGGGGAGCTCAGGACACCTCCAAGAAGAAGCTCCTCTGGCCCAGGAGGAGGCGAGGGGTAGGGGAGGGTAGGCAGGGGTAGAAGTGAAGGCTCACCCTCAGCTCCTGTGTCAGCAGGTCGCAGTCAGACTCAGAAACACACCTTGCAGCCCCTCGGAGGGGCTTCCCGGGAGGTGTCACAGTCAGGACTGGGCCTGTTGCTCTCCTTAGCCTCTGGGGCAAAGCCAGGCCCCTGAGACCCCATGCACCATCCCACGAGTCACTCCCTCTGCCTCATCCCAAGAGCTCTCCAGGGCTGGAGAGCTTCGTCACACTTCGGCTGGGTGGCTCTGGCCAAGTCATTCCGCTACTCTGACCCTGGTCATAATCAAGACCATGAAACCCACTACCCACCTGGCTGATTGACAGCCCACTTTAAGGGGCTGTTGTGTGGATAATCTGTACTAAGTGCTTAGCACAGTTCTTGCCACATGCTGTCACACACGTGTACACTGCTATGGTTACCATAATTACTACTGCACCTACCCCACCACCCACTGTTTACTACACTCAGCTCAGGTTGACCCTGGAGCCCTGGACAGGAGTTGGCCCCTGGGTTCACAGGGGCAATAGTACAGGGGGAGGAGAGGGAGGCAGTTAGTTCCTTAGGGACCTGCCACTGAGCAGGTCCAGCCTCCGGGCATGGTTGACTGGTCACCTCCCTGCAGATGCGCCCCAGCTGACGGAGCTGCCCCGGGATGTCACTGTGGAACTGGGAAGGAGTGCCCTCTTGGCATGCCGGGCCACAGGCCGCCCGCCCCCGATGGTCACCTGGCGCCGTGGAGACGGCCAGCCTCTGGGACTCAGGCTGGGGGCCGGGCGAGGCAGCAAGTCTCGGCAGCCAGATTCGGGAATGCTGTTCTTTGAAAGTAAGAGATTGGGGCTGGTGGGGGGTGGGCAGGGAGACAAGAGGACCTCTGACACCCCAAACCCCCAGGCCGGTGGCTGAGAGCAGGGCCCTGACCCCCAGCACTGACCATAGAGCAGAGGCTGATACGCTGTCACACTTCGGCTGGGTGGCTCTGGCCAAGTCATTCCGCTATGCTGACCCTGGTCATAATCACGACCATGAAACCCACTACCCACCTGGCTGATTGACAGCCCACTTTAAGGGGCTGTTATGTGGATAATCTGTACTAAGTGCTTAGCACAGTTCTTGCCACATGCTGTCACACACGTGTACACTGCTATGGTTACCATAATTACTACTGCACCTACCCCACCACCCACTGTGTACTACACGCCAGGCCTGAGAGCAGGCACTGTGTCAACCCCTCCCAATCACACCACAAGATACAGGCCAATTACCCCCATTCCACAGATGAGCAAACTGAGGCTTTCTCACCCTTCCAAGGTCTAGCCGTGTCCCTCACCCCTTCCCTCTCTGCCATCCCAGCCTTCCCTCCTGAACCTCTGTAAGGCCAGGCCATGCCCAGGGGCTGTCTCTGCACCTGGGGAACTGGAGCCCTTGGGGGTTGCAGCTGTGGTGTGCCTTGGCAGTCACACCTGCCTCTCTCGTGCCCCTCAGGTGTGGCCCCAGAAGACCAGGCCTCGTATGTCTGTGAAGCTCGAAATGTCTTTGGGAAGGTCCAAGCCGAGGCCCAGCTCATCGTCACTGGTCACGGTTCGCTGGTGGATCTGAGGGCCCTGGGAGGTGGGGGGGCAGGTGCTCCCTGGGGGCACAGCAAGGCTGTGGGCGCCTCCAGGGAGCCTCTCCTGGCCCATCTGTTGGAACAAATGAATCCACAGCCAAATTCTCCAAGAGCAGCACCTGTGCCCCTGCATCCTGGGCAATGTCCTGGGGGTCCTGTGACCCTTTAGGATCCCCAATTCTGATGTATCTCCCAGTTTCCTGGGGAGAGAGAGGGGAGCAGGAGCCTCTGTCCCCCAGACAACCACCCAGGGCACCTATTGTGGCTGACACCAGCTCCTCTCCCCACAGCCCCGCCACAGATCGCCAGCAGCGCCCCCACCGTCCGGGTCCTGGAGGGGCAACCTGTGTCCCTGCCCTGCATCGTCCTGGCTGGGAGGCCCCTCCCGGAAAGGCACTGGCTCAAGGATGGCCGGCCCGTGAGTGCTGGGCTCCTCTGGGTGCGGTGGGCCGTGGCACCTGGGGAAGGAGGGGGCTGTCACAGCCACGCCTCGGTCTCTGCTTGGCTGTTTCCCCTCCTGGGAATGGCCCCTTCCTTCTGCCCTCTTTTTGGCCCCATTTCAGAACCTTCTCTGATAATGCGCTGATGGTGTTTGCTGCCCTCTAAAGTCCTGCCGGCTGTCAGATGGGTCATGGCTGCTGGACCCCTGGGAACTCTGCAGGGGAATCGTGTCCTCGGGAAGTCTGTGGCCAGGAGCAGGATTTATGAGGCCAGTCACTCAGTGCATTCTCCCCCTTCTTTATGAATCCAGAGCAGGGAGTACCTTGGCATTTACTTTCGCTCACAATACAGTGGCCGCCAGAACGCACAGTGGCTGCCTTTCAACAGTTCCCCTTTGATTGGCTTGGTCTGTCGTTTTCCTCTTCTTTTTTTTTTTTTCTTTTTTTTTTTTGAGACGGAGTCTCGTCTGTCGCGCAGGCTGGAGGCCTGGCCGCGTTCTCGCCACTGCAAGCCTCCACCTCCAGGTCTACATCATCTCCTCCGCCATCCATCGATCTCCTGGAGTAGCTGGACAACACGCCCGCCACCTCCCCGCTTAGTTTTTTAATTTTGTAAAGACGGGTTCACCCTGTAGCCAGGACGGTCTCGATCTCCTGACCTCGTGGTCTGCCCGTCTCAGCCTCCCAAAGTGCTGGGATTACAGGCTTGAGCCACTGCGCCCGGCCTGCCCTCTTCTATTGACTCTTTCATTACCTCTTCCCTTTCCTCAATTCTTCTACCTGGTCTCAGACACACTGGGTCCCTGTGCCCTGCAGGCTACAAAAAGGTGCCTTCCCAACTCTGCATTCCCAGGAGAGACTCTCGTGGGCCCAGCTTCGGTCAGGCCCACCCTGGTCCAATTGGCCGAGGGAGAGGTGGGGTCAGGGTATGCAGGGGTTAGGCTCACCCAGCCCTGCAGGGTCTCTGGAGGGCTTGACTGGGCACTCGACAGGGACTCACAGAGCTCCTCAGCCTTCTCTGAGCCCCCGGACTCTCAGTCCTGGCTGCTCCCTGCTGGCTTGATGGGCAGCGTAGTTTCCCGAGGGTTCTCTCTCAGCGGCCTCTGAGTGAGACCCGAGGCTAAGCTGGTGCTTCCTCACCCCTACCAGCTCCCATCTGGTAACCGGCATTCCATCCGAGCGGATGGCAGCCTCCACCTTGACCGAGCGTTGCAGGAGCACGCGGGGAGGTACCGGTGTGTGGCCACCAACACGGCCGGCTCTCGGCATCGGGACGTGGAGCTGGTGGTCCAGGGTGAGTCCTGGGGCCCCCGAGGTGGTGGTCATGGGGCAGGGAACATGATGGGGTGGGGGAATGTGCAGAGGTAACTTGATCTTGAATGCATTTGCTTTAAAATATCGCGCAAATGATATATATTCTCTGTGGGAAAATCAGGGATTTGACAAGTTAAAAAAATACTCTCATAATACCAGTGGCTAAGAATAACCAGATTTTGCATTTGGGCATGTATCTTTTCATACTCTATACACACACACTCTCTATATATATCACACACATCTATATGTAGTATATATATACACTATGTATACATAGAATATATATTATTTATACATGATTCATGCAGATTCTTTGTATGTTCTTATAAATTACATAAAAATTATCTATCATCTATTTATCTACCTATCTATCATTTATCCATCTAATCTATCTACCTGTTTACAAACCTAGTTAAAAACCAAATAGGATCACACACTGTCATTGTCTTGGCCCCTGAGTATTTCCGTGACAAGATGTTATGACTGTTCTGTTTTCTGTCAATTAAGATTCAGAGGCATCAGTTTAATAAGGGGATGACCAAGCCCCCTGATTATCTAATTATCTGATTATCTGTACCCCCCCAACACCACCACGTCCCCCACAACCCGGGAACGAACAGCCTCATACCTACACATTGTACATGACCTCGTACCTACGTGACCAATTCTTTCCTTAGGATAAACCCATTAATGTGGATTAAGTTTTGCATCACAGAGATGATACGTTTTTGGAATTTTTAGTGTTTTGCCCAGCTGCTCTCCTGCCCACAGCACTGGGTTCTTCTGTTCACCCAACCGGGAACCACTGTGCTTTTTAATGTAAGATGAGACATTTCAAACTAAATGTGGTTATGTTTTGTGATTTACCAAGTATGTTAATTTCGTCTTCTTTCTTGTTGGTTGCATAAAGCCCCCAAGGGACTAGTGGGAAGAACGCTCGTTCCCCATTTTATAGGGGAGTGCAAAGTCAGAAGGGCTGGGTAGAGCACTCAGGTGTAGTTCTAGGTGTCATCCCCTCATAATTCCAGATCCAAATCGCCATCCAAGGTTGAGTGTGTACCACATGCCAGGCATCTGCTAGTTTCTATATATGATTCCACTCAGTTTCACCCCCTAACTTCCCACTGTGCCCTCACAGCGGCTTCTGCAGGGCTGACACGGACAGGTTCAGTCTCTCTTGGCTTAGTTCATCTCCATTCAGCAAATATTTCTGGGCCTCTGCTGTCTTTGGCCACCTGGGAGTCCAGAAGGCTGTTTTCCTCCCTAAAGGAGCTCCAAGTGCTAGCTCTCCTGGCTTCTCCATGCCTAGTTGCCCCTCCCTCGCTCCCCTTAGAGACCCCCGTTTTCAAGCCTGCCAATCTGAGTGGTACCCAGGGTGGGCATGATACCTGTTTTTAAGCTCACTGTGTTCCGCAGACACTGCTCATCTATCCATTCCAGAAGGGACGACCAGGGAATTGGGGTTAAATTAGCTTTTGTGCTGATCAGGGCATATGGGTACCAGAAGATTAAGTGGCTTATCCAGAGCCTCAGAGCAATGAATCAGCGCAGCTGATTCCCAAGCACATGCTACCTTCTGTGTGGGGAAGGCAAAAAAAACTGACGATGGCAGGCAGTGGTGGCTCAGGTATTGTGCCAGTTTTACTCTCCCGTTGAAAGCTTTTGTTTTTTATTTTTATTTATTTATTTATTTCTGAGATGGAGTCACTCTGTTGCCCAGGCTGGAGTGCAATGGCACGATCTCGGCTCACTGTCACCTCCGCCTCCCGGGTTCAAGCGATTCTCCTGCCTCAGCCTCCCGAGTAGCTGGGATTGCAGGCATGTGCCACCATGCCCAGCTCATTTTTGTATTTTTAGTAGAGATGAGTTTCACCGTGTTGGCCAGGATGGTCTCAAACTCCTGACCTCAGGTGATCTGCCCACCTCGGCCTCCCAAAGTGCTGGGATTATAGGAGTGAGCCACCGTGCCTGGTCTGAAAGCTTTGAAAATTGTCAAATATACATAACATATATCATTTTGACGATGTTTAGGTGTGCGGTGGTGTTAGTACATTCACACTGTTGCAGGACTATCACCGCTATCCATCTCCAGGACTTTCTCACCATCCTGAACGGAACCTCTGTCCTCATTAAACATTAGCTCCCCATTCCCGGCTCCCCTCAGCCCCCTAGGAGTTACCCTTCTACCTCCTATCTCTATGAACTTGCATATCTAGGGACTTCATATAAGTGGAATCTTACAGTATGTGTCCTCCCGTGTCTGTGATTTCACTTAGCATGTTTTTAAGGTTCATCTATGGTGTAGCATGTGTCAGAATTTTATTCCTTTTAAAAAAATAGCCTGGACTTTTAAGAGGAGTTTAAGTTTATAGAAAAATTGAGCAGAAGGTACAGAGATTTCTCACATACCTCTGGCTCCCACCATGCGCAGCCGTCTTCACTGTCAGCATCCCCCAGAGTGGCCCGTTGTTACCACTGAAGACATGTCATAATCGCTCCAAATCCCAGAGTTTACACTGGGGTTCCCTCTTGGTGGTGTTTATTTATTTTATTATTTATTTATTTATTTTTGAGATGGGTTCCCTCTTGGTGTTTTTTTATTTTTATTTTTTATTTATTTATTTTGAGATGGAGTCTCACTATATGGCCCAGGCTAGAGTGCAGTGGTGCAATCCCAGCTCACTGCAACCTCCACCTTGCAGGTTCAACTAATCCTCCTGCCTCAGCCTCCCAAGTAGCTGGGACTACAGGCGCCCACCACCACACCCAACTAATTTTTGTATTTTTAGTAGAGATGGGGTTTCACCCTCTTGGCCAGGGTAGTCTCGAACTCCTGACCTCAGGTGATCTACCCACCTTGGCCTCCCAAAGTGCTGGGATTACAGGTGTGAGCCACCGCACCTGGCCCTTGGTGTCGTTTATTTTGTGGGTTTGGACAAATACATAGTGACACGGACCCATCACTGCAGTATCACCCAGAGTAGCTTCACTGCCCTGAAAATCCTCTAGACTCTGCCTCTTCTTCCCTCCCTCCCCCAACCCTGGCAACCACTGATCTAGTTTTGTCTTTTTCTTTTTCTTTTTCTTCTTCTTCTTTTTTTTGGAGACAAGAGTCTCACTCTGTCTCCCAGGCTGAAGTACAGTTGTACAATCTCGGCTCACTGCAACCTCTGCCTTCCGGTTCAAGCAATTCTCCTGCCTCAGCCTCCCGAGTAGCTGGGATTACGAGCATGCATCACCATGCCCAGCTAATTTTTGCATTTTTAGTAGAGGCGGAGTTTCACCATGTTGGCCAGGCTGGCCTCGAACTCCTGACCTCAAGTGATCTTCCCGCCTCAGCTTCCCAAAGTGCTGGGATTACAGGCGTGAGATACCGCGTCCAACTGCTTTGCCTTTTACAGAGTGTCATATAGTTGGAATTAATTTCATTCCTTTTTAAGGGTGAATACTCTTCCGTTGTGTGCACACACCACATGTTGTGTGTCCATGCATCGCTGATGGACATTTGGCTGTTTCTACCTTTTGGCCACTGTGAATGATGCTGCAATGAACCTTGGCTTTGACATTGGTTTATTTATAACAGTGCCACCTAGAATCCATCCTACTGCCACCCACCACATCACCAATGAAGGGGTTCCGGCCTCTCTCCCCTGCGTCGCTTCAGGAGTTCCCGCCCCCACCATCACCTGGACCAAGGTGAGCAGTGCCTGTTACCAAGAGGGTAACCAGAGAGGTAGGCCCAGTGTGTCATGGGACAGAGGTGTGGGCTTTGCTGATGTCACCTGTGTCTCTGCCCTAGGAAACCAATGCCCTGACCTCCAGAGGTCCCCACTACAATGTGAGTAAGGAGGGCACCCTGCTCATCGCCCAGCCGTCCGCCCAGGATGCAGGGGCCTATGTCTGCACGGCTACCAACACCGTGGGCTTCTCCAGCCAGGAGATGCGGCTTTCTGTCAACAGTGAGTGATGCCAACCCTGTCCTGGGAGAGGGGGCTCAGTGGATGTGGAGACAGAGAGTCCCACCTCAGCCCTGTGGAGCCTGAGGCGGGGAAGCTGTTGCATCAGCAAGTCCTGCAAAGACACGTAGCTCTGCACAGGACCCACGTCCCCAGCAGTCCTCTCACCTGTCTCTCTCTGCCCCAGACCCTCTGGTCTCCTTTTGTTTCTGGAACGGTCCGACCTGCCTCAGGGCCTGCGCACATGCAATTCCTTCCGTTTGGAATGCCGTTCCCCCACCTCTGGGCCCAGCTGACTGCTCCCATCCGTCAGATCTCAGCTCTCCCTGATCCCCCAGGCCGGTCAAGTCACCTTGCTGTAAACTGTGGAATATCCCCTTCTTGGCACCCATCACAGCTGTGATTCAATAATTAATCGCATAGCGAGCTTTTTGGTACCAGTATTGCCAAAGGACCCTAAAGGCTCTGAAGATGGGGTGGGACCTGTCTCCTTCGCTGCCATCCCCGGCATTCCCCGCAGGGCTGGCACTCAGTAAATATGTCTGAGAGGAGTGAGCAAATGCATAAGCCAGGTCAACATTTTTATATTGCAAAAAAAATTCCTAATGGGGGAGCATTTCCTCTCTGAACTACAAATGTACAGGGAATACGGGAGGGCTAGATGGGTTCTGATGTCCCCAACTGGCTAACTTCTTTCATTGTTGCTACTCACACAGGTAGTGAGTGCCTTCCTTGTATGAGCTCCAAGGTAGAAAGGCCGGGCGGGGGGTGGGGGGGAGGAAGGAAGGGTACCACGCAGTCTCTGCCATCGAGAACTCTTCAGCTGAAGGTGAGAGAGAGCGGTGACATGCCCAGATTGCCATCAATCCCTCACCAGGCTTCGAGAGGTCCAGAGGGAGGGTCTGTGCGTTCTTTGGTGACTGATATCGTGGGAATAAGTGACTGAGCAAGGGGAGAAGGTAAAGAGAGAGGTGGAGTTAAGAGCCTTTCAGAATGTCCCTGGGGAAGGGATGGCAGGATGAAGAGAAGCCAGAGGAGGCACAGACCCTGGGGCAGGAGGGACCGAGTCAGGGTCCTCAGAGCAAGGTGCTGGTGGGGAGATGGGTAGGGGAGGACTGAGCAAAAACCCTGGGACCTGAGTCCCACCCTCAACCTGCACTGTCCCCCTTCTGACAGCCACACCCGCCTTCTGGACCTCCTGAGGGTCGAGGGCCCGGTATCGGCTCTGCCTCCTGGGGGAGCTGCCCCACGGCCCAGGGCACTCATGGCCCCTAGTTCCCTCTGCCCTGCTGACAGCCTCTGCTTACTCCCCCCGCAGCCAAACCCAGGATCCACATGAATGGGTCACATAATGCAGATGTGCCTCTGAGAGTCACAGCGAAGGCTGGCGAAGAGGTGACCCTGGATTGCGAGGCCGAGGGCTCCCCACCCCCACTGGTCACCTGGACGAAGGACTCCCACCCTGTACCGCCCATCACCAACAGGTAACCCCAGTCCCATGGCCTCAAGCGACAGAGCTTAGAGCTGGAGGGAAGCCTGCCTCAGGTGACCAGTGACCCAGCGGGTGTCTTGGACCCTGCAGTCTCTCCCATAGGGTGCTCCTGGGCTTCCACACACAGGGCTATTGTCCACGGGCCCCCAGAAGCCTGGAAGGGGCCTCTGGAGGGTGCCTGGAAGCCCAGGGTGAGACTCCCCGTCTGAAATAACATGCACGGGGCATTGCCTGCAGGATCCTGTTTAATCTGCACAGCCACCCTTGATCTCTGACAGGGTACTCAGCCAGGGGGTGAGCTGCTGGCCATCACCTGGCTAGAAAACAGCAAAGCCAGGGCTGGGACCACATCCCTGCCATGACACGCACCACCCCCACACCGGCTCTGCAGACCAGGTGTCTGGCGGCTGGGCTGTCTGACTCAGCTGCTCCCGGTCTGGGATCCTGGGAGTGGGCGGATAGGGAGGAGGCTGGCTTGGGTGTCCTTCAAAGCCACGCCGTACCCCCCAGGAAGGGATGTGGGGGATGCTAGGGCGCTTGCCCCTGGCTGGGGGGTTCTGTGGCTCAGTTTGGTGACATCAGCCCTGGCAGGGTCTTTGAGATGTTCCAGACCCAGAAGGTCTCGGAGCAGCCTGCTCTGTAATGTGACCCCCGCCCCCACCATGTGTCAGTGCATCTCAGAACATCTGTTTGGTGAGTCCTGCCAATCCTTGCAGCCGGGCACCCCTAAAGGTGGCGGAGGCCCAGGGAGCTGGCCCTGGGCATCATCGGTGCGGTCCCCCATGCCCTCTTGGCGTCGCTGTAGCTCTATGTTGTGAGGTGAGGGTGTGGCAGGGGCCGCGGGGACCCACAGCTCCCCTAGAAAGCCTGGTCCTAGCTCTGCGGCTGGGCGGTGGCCCTCAGCTGGAGGATGCGTGTTGATTTATGGCTTGTTACTGAAACGGGAACTGCCTTCCCATTTGTTCTCCGCTCTCTCGCCGGTGGTGCGTTAATAGGTCAGCCGGGAGCTGTAAATTTGCAAAAGCTGCTTTTGCAATCCTAGAGTTGTGTTGTGTTCCCTCTCCCTTGCCCTCTTCACTTTGTGCTGGCTTACACTGTTTTATCTCCAGATTTGGGAGATTCCGAGAGTTTATCTAAATGAGGAGGAAAATGTGCTGGGAGGCGGGGGTGGGGTTAAGTGCTCAGGCCCTGGAGTTCCGCACACCCGGTACGGAACCGCCTGCTCCCTTCTTAGTCGTGCGACCTCGGGTGGCCACTGGCTCCTCTTGGCCTGTTCCTCCATCTGCAAAGTGGACGTTATTTAAATAGCACTCTTGTGGGGTAATGACGGATGTGCCGTGCTTAGGGAGTCAGATGTGCTGAAAGCTTGCTCCCTTTCATATGATTTCCCTGCTGTTGCCGTTCGCAAACTGAGACATCCTCTCCAGCTTTTACAAATTTATCCTCATCCGACCACACCTGTTATCTCAGTTGTCACCTGCTTTTTAAATATAAAAGCTTTATTGAGATGTAATTCACATACTGTATCCTTCGCTTATTTAAAGGACACAGTTCAGTCAGTTCAGTGCTTTTAGTATATTCAGACGGTGCAGCCGTTACCACAACCAATTTTAGAACATGTTCATCACCCTCCCCAAAAAAACTTCATACTCATTGGCAGCCACCAGCCCCCCATGTCTGCTCCAGCCCCACTGCAGCCCCTGACCTGCTTTCGGCCTATTTTGGACATTTTGTATAAATGAATTACGTGGGGCCTTTCGTGTCTGGCTTCTGTCACCTAACTTAATGTCTCCTTAACCAGATTAGTGCTTGCTTCCTTTTAATGGCCGAATAGCATCCCATCGTGCGGGTGGCTCACTTTTTGTGTGTCCACTCATCAGTTGATGTGCACTGGGACGTTTCCACCTTTTGGTGACTGTGAATAGCCTTTCTTTTTTTTTTTTTGAGACGGAGTTTCGCTCTTGTTGCTCAGGCTGGAGTACAATGGTGCGATCCTGGCTCACTGCAACCTCACCTCCCTGGTTCCAGTGATTCTTCTGCCTCAGGCTCTAGTGTAGCTGGAATTACAGGCACCTGCCACCACGCCTGGCTAACTTTTGTATTTTTAGTAGAGATGGGGTTTCACCGTGTTGGTCAGGCTGGTCTGGAACTCCTGGCCTCAGGTGATCCACCTGCCTCGGCCTCCCAAAGTGCTGGGATTACAGGCATGAGCCACTGCTCCGGGCCATAGCCTCACTTTTGATTGTACTTGAAGCTTTGTTCGAAGGCTCTGGGTCCTCTGATTCCCTCCCTGCCCCACACCGGCGGTGTCCACACACAGAACCAAGCTCAGCCTCTCACAGACAGACACACCACATCACCTCCGTCCCTCAGTGCCTCAACCAGAACACAGAGACTTAAAAAGCCCCTTGGAAAACACACAGCAAGACTTTCTGTCTGTCTGCTTCCCCCTCCCCTCCCCCTCCTCTCCCTCTTCCCCCTCTTCCCCTTCCCTACATCTTCTTCCTCTTCCCCTCCTGTCTCCCTCTTCCCTTTTCCTCCTCCTCCTCCCCTTCCCCTCCCTCCGCTTTGTCTTCCTTGTCCTTTCTTCCCCAAGGACATTCCCAGGCTCAGCCTCAAAGCTGCCCTTCTGGAAACGGAGCACTTGTCTGGCTGATGCGTCTGGTGAGTTGTAGGTGCTCATCTCTTGATGAGAGGAGCCAGCCGCCCTCCACACCCGCTTCCCCCCTCCCCTGCTCCCTTGCTCCTCTTCCTTGCCGAGCTACCCCAAGGACAGGGCTCCACGGCAGCCCGTTCTCCTTCTGTGGTGTAGTCAGGGCTGAGAGTCAAGATGTGCTGAGCCTCTGAGGCCCCCTCCATTCCGCCTTGCCCAGGAGTGGCCCTCTCCTGCCAGCGCCCTGGAGGTGGGTGGGGTGGATGGCACCATGCCCAGTGCACTGAGGAGGAAACAGAAACACATGGGGTGTGGGGACGTGGAACCTGACCCTGCAGCTCCTGGGGGGGGGCTCCGACATGCACAGACATACAGACACACACAGATGCACGCACAGGGACACGCGTATCAGGTGGGCCGCTGCTCTTTGAACTCCTAGTTATCTTCGACCCCCCGAGTCAGCAAGTCCTCACAGAGGAAGCAGCCTAGGAACCTCAGAAGCCGTGAAGTTCCGAGCCAAAGTTCCGTCCCTTTGGAGCCGCTCTTGTCTTTGTAGGGGCTGTTCTAGAATTAAACCTCGGGCATCTTATATTCTGTCCTCATCGCAGATTCCTTTTCTCTTTTACTCATTTTCTTGATTCATCCTGGCCCATGTCACTTGCTTTTCCTTTTAAAGGGCAAAATAGGCCGGGCGCGGTAGCTCATGCCTATAATCCCAGCACTTTGGGAGGCCAAGGAAGGCGGATCTCGAGGTCAGGAGATCAAGATCATCCTGGCCAACATGGTGAAACCCCATCTCTACTAAAATACAAAAAAAACACACAAAAATCAGCCAGGCGTGGTGGTGTGCACCTGTAGTCCCAGCTACTCGGGAGGCTGAGGCAGGGGAATCACTTGAACCTGGGAGGTGGAGGTTGCAGTGATCCAAGATCATGCCACTGCACTCCATCCTTGCAACAGAGCAAGACTCTGTCTCAAAAAAAAAAAAAAAAAGAAAAAAGAAAAGAAAAAATAAAGGCCAAAATAACATTCCAGGGCGCTCGGCTCCCATCATCTCTGAGCCATTGCTCTGTGTGGGGCACGGCCGTGTTGCCAGCTCTCGCGGTCATAAATGAGACTGTTGGAGCAGCTTTGCACAATGTTCCTCTTTATCTCCTGGGTCAGTTCCTTGGAGGACGGTCCCAAAAGCCCACGGTGAAGTCCGAGGGTGGGAATGGTCATCGAGTGCTTCTTTCCCGTGGGACTTGTTTTTGAAAAAGACATCCAAGTTGCAAATTCAAAATTGAAGTCAGCAGCATTGACTGAGCGATATCCTGTGCCCAGGATTGTGTCGCAGCCTCAGAGACAGAAGACATGGGCTTGGGCTGTATGTGAGCACGTCTTGGGCTGTGTGTGAGGTCAGGTGGCAAAAGACCTGGGGTCCCATCTCAGCTTCACCCCAGCTCGCCCAGTGACCTCACACAAGACCTTTCCCCTCTCCCCTCCCTGGGCCTCAGCCTTTCCATTTGAGAAATGAAAGGGTTGGACAGGCGATGGTGGCCAGAGAGCATCTCGGGGCTCTGGTCCCATGATTCAGCCCAGGGATGCTGGGGCGAGGCAGTGTTTCCAGGCAACAATGTTTGTTTGGGATTCCGATGAGGAGATGGGACGGCTGTGAGCACTCCTGGCTCTGGCTCTGGCTCCCGGAGGCTGCCGGCCAGCATTCCACACAGGGCCAAACCCCTAATCCCAGCACGGTGTGGGGGCAGTGAGAGGATGGTGCGCTTCTGTCTCATTCCTCCAGGTTTTCTTCCTTTGATAACCCCCCTACCCTCCTCTGCCCCTTCCCAAGCACACTGCAGGACAGGCCGCCCTCCCACCCTTCTCCTGGAAGGAGGCCACTGGGCCGGCTCATTAGAGGCAAGAGGTGAGGCCTACAGCTGGGATCTGGTGACTTGTGGCAGGGAAAGCAGCTCACTGCTGTCTGGAAGCCAGTGGCATGCCTGGACTGCCCGGGGTCCTGCATGGGGACTGTACCTTGGTGGAACCTCAAAGCCTTGTCGGTTTCTGGCCTGGTAGCTCTGGAGTCCATCTTGTCAGCCTGTGGGCAGTGGCTGTCTTTCTGGAGAACGTTTAAGTTTACTCACCTTCAGAGCTGGACGTTTAGATCACCGTGGCAGTTAGGAAGGAGCATGGTCACACAGTGTGAGGGTCAAGTCCTCTCTGTGCCCTGGCCAGCTGAGCGGCCATGGACACCACGACCACACCTCCGAAGGCTCAGTCTTCTCCTCTGCAAAAGGGGGTGTGGCAATGGGGTCTGCCTGCCTTGTAGGTCTGGCTGCTGGGACTCTAAGTGAGAG